AATAATTCTATCTATCTATCTATAATCAATTTATACGAAAGCAATCATATGACTACAATCCCGTTTGTCTCGGCGGTCTCGGGGGTCTAGTGGTTTAGCACACCGCTTTACTTCCAATGATCTCGGGTTCGATTCCTCGCATGATACACACATTGATATTTTTACACGTTTTAAAAAGTTATAAGAACTATTTAAATTGATATGTCTGAGTAGGTATAAATAATTATCAATATCAATAAAGTATAGATTAAACTAATAAATAAATGAGAAATTAATGACTGCAATTATGTTTCAGTTAATGCCCTGTTGTATTTAACACGATCACCTTCTCAGTGACCATGTCACAACATTTACAACTATTTTTTAGAAATGTATGTCATTGGCAATACAAGCCGTTTCCGCAAGGAAAACCTTACATTGAGCCGAGCGCAAGTATGAAAGAAACCGATTAGTAGCAATTTCACTCTCACTCATAAAGACTAAACTTTTTCTTTTTTTGTTCAGACGTGTATATTTTTAGTAACCCAAATCTTTTTTGTTAACTAAATTTAAGTATCTATGCAACAAAATGGCGCCTATTTCATTACAACAAATAATAGCCCTTTTATATATAGAAGATGTACCTTCTTACTATTTTAGTTCCCGTCCTTTACAATTTTCCCATACTAAGCAAAGACTCATACTAATTGCAAAACCTTCTCTCATTAAAAGTAACCCTGACATTTGTATAAATTTAACTCTTCTTTTATATTTGTTCATGCTTTCGGAGCATCATTCATTCCATGCACTAATATGTACTTATATTATATTAGCATGATGACATTATTGTGCAATTTCAAGTATTTTCAAGCTACCTTAATATAATTTTATTGCAACCAGATGCAAAAAAATACATATTAATGTACTGGACTCTACACTATTTATATGATCGTAGTACATCAGTCTCTCAATTCAGACCTGACATGACATTTTTTTTTTAGTTCGGGCACGTTTATCTCATTTTTTATTTTATAATAATCTACCTAATTAAAAATAAAGTAGGTAAACTTTAATGAGTAATTGCAAGGTCACAAAAGGCAATAATTTGTAACCAAAGCTTATAAATTAAAACATTTATGTCTAGGTTGACAACGAAGTAGGCCAAAGTATGTCAATTATTTAATACGATTACTGATAATTACACTTAATTTATCATAAAAAATATAAATCTAAGAACTTATATCTAACTACTAATAATATCTTATAGTATAAAAATTAAGCAAAAAGTCAGTTATATTCTCTAAAACTTTAAAAATAACAATATATCTGCGTGACAAACGAGTAGCTATATAATAAAGCTAAAGCTAAGATGTCGATAAGATATCTAAGGGAACAAACACTAATGTGTATATTTGTACAAAGGAGGAAAAATACTAAATGAAAATGGAAGTCACTCCATCTAGCAACGCGATGATAATCGACTAATTCCCGGTGAGATATTACATAATGGGTTGTCATAATGATGATCATTGTTAATACGACATTTTTTCAAATAATTACTTAAGAAAAATGCATAATAATGCATTGCATGCATTATTATGCATTTTTTAATCGATATTTTCCTTTATAGTTTTGCTACATTTAAACTTATTACTTCGACATAAAAAGTTACGATGTAAATTTTCTTAAACTAGTGGCCCGTCCCGACATCGTTAGCACGGTCATAACTTTGTATATTATATATTTAGGCAATATATAAAATAATATATAGGCAAAATACAATTTCAATAGTGTATCTTTCAAATAATAAAAGAATTTCTCAAATCGGTGCATAATAAAGTATGTTCTCTGTTTCGCTCCTTTATAATATTACTAAAATCTAAGTAGCTATTCTTTATTAAAGCAGTCTCCTATTCTCATGTTTACATTTAACCTATTTTACTTTCCATTAAGGCCTCTAATGTTATAGGTATAGTGTCTAACCGCAACTCTATTGTACAAAGGAAAATTATTATTAATTATTATTATTAAAACTAAAACGAACATAGTTTTAGTTTTAATCCGAACCACTTATGAAAATAGTAAATTTGATAATCAGTATCGGTTAGTTATCGCTTATAAATCACTAAATTTAAGTAATTGGTTCATGAAAGTATTTCGGTGTTAGTCATAATTTCGGACAAGTTGCTCTGCCGCGTACTGTAAGTTAAGTTAAGTTTTTCTAATCGAATTTTCGAGAACAGTTTATTGATTCTGCACGGTATTTAGCCAAGCACAGAACAGAATTAAACAGTTAGTATAAATATACCACTATCATTGTGTCTATACCAAGTATATGTAAAGTTACGACTATAAAGCCTGGCAGTTCCAGATACACATAGTGATACACAATTAACATGCAAATAGGTAATTTTAATGTAATAAAACGAATAACTATTTATAAAAATACAAGTTTCCCCCCTACTCTCCTCTTCAAAAATATTCCTCGTAGTCAAACTAGTTTGACTGCAAAGTTTAACCACGAGGGTTTACTTTAAAGTATATATTTTGAGCTAACTCTTACCAGCGAGTACGCTTTTTGAGTCAAAAGATACCATATGTCCGTTCGCATGATTTAGATTATTTTCACGTAAAATTCCTTTAATCTGTGGTCAGCCGTCATTAGTCGGATTATTCATGAAAGGGTAAAAAACAGACATACCTACACACTTTCTCGTGTATAAAATTAGTATGAATATCGATTTTAAAGTAAATATATATACAATGTATATATATATAATGTATATAGGTGTTTCATAAATTTAACAGAAAATAAAAGTAACTGATTCTGTCAAGTGAACAAAGTTTTGTATTGCAAATAATTATTGTACGACGAGAGCAAGGCGATGAATCTATTCTTATGATTATTGTGCTATCTTCTTTCTAATGAATATAACAGGAAGCCGTAATGTGTGTCTGTGTGATGACGCTGGCGACAGATTTGAATACTATAACTATGCAATACTATATTATCTGTGCTATAACTAAGTATTATGGTATGGTAGGTATTAGGATTAACCTATTTGTTAGTGACTTTTACATATGATTTGACCTACGATATTACATTATCTACGTTATTATTTTGTCTTTACCCCACAGGATCTGTTTGCTAAGTAAACTGCTACTAAAATTTGATATTAACAGTCCTCACGAAATATTGTTATAAACACTCGGCTGTCTTTCCTGATTGAAGAAGTAATACCAAAAATGATTTAGACATGAGATTATAGTGGACATAAAGACAATAAATGTATAATTAATCGGAAAATGCTTCCCGTCACCGTAAACCGTAACTGTAAAAAACCAAATTATAGCTCAGTATAGGCGCACCGGATTTCCAGTTTCCAATATATATGAGAATCAAGATGACGCACGTCATGTAACACGTCAAACCATTAATTATTAACGTTTTAATAGCATTGATTAATTGATTATTCAAAGAAATTGTACATGAAGTACTATTTTTTTATTATTAGTAATTACTATGTGAATTACTGTATCGAGTGTAACACTTGCAGTTACATTAATTTCTATAATCTATACAAAATCGCCTGTTCTGATGTTCTGGGGGCGTATTATGAACTCTTTAAAATCCAGTCAGTTTCCAGGCAGTTCAGTTTACGGCCTTAAACTGAATGGCAATAAGAGTTCATAATACGCCCCCTGAATTACTAAATATTGAAACCTGAAATTTGGAAATGCTCTTAGAGATAGAATATTAAAAAATACTCATGACAATGATTTTAAATTTTTAAGGAGAATCATTCACAAATTATATATTATGCATTAGTATATATACATAATGGTTTTAGTTGATTATCTAATTTTTATTGTGATACAAATTATTATCCGTATTAATGTTGACTTTAAGTTTATATTTAATCCTTAAGCGTTTATAATAATAATAACGTTTATTGCACATAAAAGTACTAATATTATGGATTTAACTAATTACCAGTAGGTACTGTATACCGACAAGTCTTATAGAAGAAATTCTTTAAATGGTGGTAAAATGTCCGTCAAAAACCCTTTTGTGGTTTAAAAGAAATAGGCAGATAGAGACGTAAAAACGCTTGTTTTTAGAGATGAAGATTCTATCTACGTCGTTTACAAAATGCCAAGAGTCATGAAATATTTATTTAAAAAGTTGACAATCAAGCAAAGTTTGTCAATACTGACACAAATGGATTATACGTAATCCCAAATAGTAGATATCAACTTCGTATCAACTCTAAGAGTTGTCATTCATTTTGTACGACATGAAAATACTCATTCCTTATCTTATAATATAAATAATAATTTTGTTTGTAGAACAAAGAAATATTTTTTCGAAATCCCGTCTACTATCTTAACTTTATTTCTTTAAAAGTACAAATCAGTACCTGCCTACAACAGTATTAAGGAAATTCAAATTTAGTCTTATGGACTAGATTTGAATTATTTAACTCAATTCCATATGTATATAAGACAAATTTTGAATAATATTCATATATTACAACAATATAACATAATCTTTATTTGTATTAAATAATAGTGGCTGTATTTCTTTAATAAATGTAGGTAATATAATATTGAAATTCCGTATTCGTAACTTAAGTAATAAAGAGCGACCATCCCTTAATTACCAAATATCATTTAAATTTATTTTTCTTACTATGATTGTGCGCTTGGCGCGAAAGATTGAGAAATAAATTGTTTTATATTTTAAAATAGTACATTAATCGGGATTTTAGAAATCTTTTGGAAACTACACAACTAAATCGTATATAGGAATATAGTATTCCTATATAGAATTCTCTAAACGTATCATATAGTCACGTGATTAATTTAGTATGAAAATAACAGACATTACTTTTATACGTTGAATAAATTGTTTAATATTATAAAAACTAGCCTTATATTTGTTGTACCTTGTCTAAATGTAAATAGGAAATTACAATTTGCATTAATTAACAAAATATAAAATTATTCTATTAACTTACCCATTTTCAAAAATAGTTGCGATCAAAAAATATACTAATAAATTCATTTTAACTTAGTTCAATCTCAAATCTATAAAAAATATCACTTTTGTTTTGTTTTAAAGAAAAAATATAGTAGGTAAAGTGGCTATAATTGTGTACATTGCTTCTGTGAATTGCCGTAGGAAACGATCATTTGATATGATTGTCGTGCTGGACACGAAACGAAGTGAAGGTTGAAATGCTAAGGACGTGTAACATGCACGGTCGCCCACCGCACACTACGTCGACGATGGCGCAAACGCCGACAACCTTCTATACAGTCAACTAGTGCGGGCCAACCCCAAATACCTCCATTCGCAGACAATCATTGACAGAAGTGAACCGAAGGTCATTAATGCTAATAACAATTAACTTTACATAAAACAACAAATATGCCTATATAATCAACTGACACACCTACAAACTAATCAAATTAGAGTAATGTAAAGTTACCCATCTCTATTAAGCAAATTTCAATCACTATATTTATATGATTCTCTGGATGTATATCTGATCTTGTCTATTATTTACTTATTTTCCTTAAAGTAGTGACAAAAAATATATGGTATATTTATATTACATAAAATATAAAAAAAGACCTATGACTAATTTTTCTCTACCTCTCTGTTAAATATCCTGACTTGAAGTTATTTAGCTACGAGAAAATTTTCTTTCAGTTTAGATTATGGGTTGGATTATGGGTAATTTCCGCGAATATTACCAAATTTGTAGCAACTAGTCTATTTTTCAAGTTATTATCGGTTTATACGCCCTTAAAATTCAAACATTATATTTGACTATTTCTCTCACTTATTATATATTCTTTTACTTTTTGTCTACCTGTTTACTAAGTAAATTAATACATATATTTATTTTACAATAAAACAATATAATAGTTTCTTTAATTACTTAACAAAATTATTATTATTTTTAAAGTTATAAAAACCACCTTTATTTCCTTAATTTCTTATTAATCTATTGAAAATTATGTCTCTGTTGTGATATAAAACGCCTTAAAAATTCCTCCAATTGTACTGGAACCCACTCCAGGAGTAATGACCCGTTCATTTGGCGGATCTACCGCTTATCGCCGGAGGTTCGACGACGGAGACCCATCTCAATAGACGGGCCACGTCTCTTCAGTAAAGGTACACGCGCGCACTTTCTCAGGGCTGAGATGTGTGCTCCGCAACACCTGGTCCTTGCGGAGGGAGAGCAACAAAATCTCTTCTTCTCCCTCTTGTCCGTTTTCGACGAATTGGGTCGGCGGCGGAGGTGGCAATTTCACGCTCACTCTCTCTGTCTGTCGCCTCCTTTCTTGTCATTACCGTCTCGCAATATGCGACGACTGCTGACCAGGACCTCCTTTTGCTCATGCTCATGTCACGAATAACTGCTGGCAAGATACCAATAAAGTATTACAAGCTTAGACCCAAGAGATACCAAAATGATCATACATAGTCGAATTTGTATACAACAACTGCATATTGACATCGTGCTCTACATCTTATTTTCGACTGGCTGTGAAAAAGAAGAATATGTCGATATTTTAGAAGTTAAACAATATTGATATAGATTTTTAATTATCACTGATATATTTGTAATATATATACAGATATAATTTATTACTTTAGCTTTATCTATATGTCAATTCCATCCGAATGAGTAGCAGCATAAAAAGTATATGACTATTCAAAACTGCTTGTATTAAATTTATTTGAATACAGATTTCTTTTTCTATTTGGATAACAATTTTGTTATTGTTTGAGATGTTTTTATGGAATATGACAGATTTGAACATTCGGGAACTATTATATATTATAAAATACCAGGTATACAATAAACCCTCGTAATGTGTAATTCTGTAAATTAATATTACAGTTATCTGTGCTACGACGAATTATTGGTAAAAAGGAAAACATTAAGGAAATGTTGTAGTAAAATAAGGTAGACGAGAATTACATGTGAGTAAATGGTATGTACCTACTTACTTACTGTAACCCGGACTTAACCGGGCAGAGTTTACAATAATCAAATTGCTTACAACTTGGTGGGATTTAATTTATCCTTCACCCAATTTAGTACACTGGTTGGTTTTAATAAATTGAATCTGTTGCTATTTTTATTAATATAAAGCGTGATATTAAATAAAACTTTATTAAGTATATTTTGTGATAAGAACACTTGATCGCTAAACAGTCAGTCAAAGATAAGACAGATAATTCGTTATCAAACTTATCCAATGAAGTACAAAACAAAACGAATGCAATGGAGAAAAGAATAAAAACATAATACCACGAATGATAAAATGTGTCAAAATAATAATTTGATGCTTTTTAGCATACTTGCATACTGCACATGACGTAAAGTTTAAATATATATATATATATATATATAAAAATAATAAAAATTTTAATAATATAAAAAATATAATTAAATTTATTAAATTATATTTTTTATATAATTACAAAAATACATTAAAAAGCGGCTAAAATGGCCTGCATAATCATTTTTGATATGTTTTATTGCAAGAGTATAGAAAGTTCCTCGCAAAATATTGAAGTAGTAAAAAAATTTGTTATAGTGTAAAAAAGACATTCATTAATTTATATTAATTGTTACATCGTTGCCTCTGTCACAAGGTACTTGACACCATTCCATAGAGGGCACTCAAAGGTGATGGAAACTTATACTAAATAGATACAAAAACCACCTATTCTCTACACATACGCCTAACCGTTCCCCATAGTAAAGCGCGGTGGCAAACCGCGCCCTGTACAAAGCTCCATGAGTGGCTTTAAACTTTTGTGTGAGCCTTCACTCAAAAACACAATGAACAAAATCCTTGTACAAAAATCCTTGTATATTATAGAAAGTGTAACAGTAGGTTACACTTTCTATAATGTTACCTTTGGTCTTTCTGGATACAAATACTTTATACATGTAACACTAGAAACAAAAACGCATTTTGTCAATCAAGAAAAATATTATTCAGGTGAGGATGTTTTATACCTACTAAAATGTGTAACATCATATTGTTCGAACTGGAGTTTATACACAAAATAAGAGACGTTATAGAGAGAAACATACAATAAAGGTAAGATAAGCTCTACTCTGGAAAAATGATGTTCCAGTGAACTCAATTTGGAAGAGACTATTAAATTTCTTATTTTATAACTATGGAGTTGGGTGGTAGGTATTAGAATCTAATACCGATTTTAATGATGTTTATTGATTAGGTATGCGGTCTCATTGCGTGGTGGCTGTATTGTTTCTATCAAGTATCTTTCCGAAGGTTATGAAAAAACTAAACCTAATTACGTGTCCTCAATCTCTACACTTGCAAATATGTAAATTTATGAAAAAATACTAATAATGTTCTTTAAGTAGTAGAGTTTGAGATTCAAAGTATCGTACTATCCTAGTTGAAAGTATTATATATGATTTTACTGTTTTGACGTGTATCGAAATTTACTATCGTAATAATATAACCCTATAGAAACGCATATTTTACGAATTCGCGACGATATCAATAGTTTTATACAATACTTCAGTATTATTTATTGTGAAAATATATATGGAAATGGACTTACGAGTAAGTCCATTTTCAATTGTATATAAATAATAAAACTAATTAGGACATTCTACCACAAAATATACAATCGCAACTAGGTATTTATTGTGAAAATATTTATGAAAATGGACTTAAAATATATTTAGGAATCTACTTACTGTATATAGGTATATGTATGTACATATATATTGTGGTAGAATGTCTTAATTTATTTTATTTACATCGCTCTGTTATTTCAGGATTATTCCTTGCGGAGATGTATTGGTAATAATATACCTACTGGTAGTAATGACTTATAAGTTTAAGTATTATCAATATAGTAGAACAAGCCTTTGTACCGTTATTTGTAATTTAAAGTATTCGCTCAGGTACTTCAAGAATTATTTTAAAGTGAAGTAAATATGTACTTTGTTTACCTTTAAATTATTCGTGTTAACAGCCGACAAATTATATCGATAAAATTTCCTGTATTGTCATACTGCTGATAAATTCAGTAGTTTATACATATGCAATTAGTTTAGAGGTATATAAAAATGCAATTATTTATACAACTCTACCAACAGCTAAAAATTATCTTCTATTTTTGCGTAACGAATACCTCCTACCAGTAACAGTATAAACAGCCTTTATTATGTCTAATTTTAATTTGTGGTGATTAGACCGTAAATAAGATATTGTGCAATCGAAGACTATTGAAACTCTGAACAAAAGCAATACAAATAAGCTGTCAACAAAAATCTTAAAAACCAATTAAATGCATTGAGTAGGTACCTCAATATCAATAAACAATATTGACTAAAATAATTATCCTCTATAACAATTTATATACTCGTTATTTGATATTTTGTGATATCCTAGATAAAAAGTTAATTCATCTTTGTACAAAGTACATGTGTAGTAATTAGATGTAGTTACAGTAATTATCTTTTTGAGAGCTCTCGATTTCGATGCTATTACAAACCGGATAAAAACTATTATTAAGGAATATACTATATCCCAGCTCTTGCATGGCAAGGCGTAAAAACTATGTTTGAACTAGGATATCATAAACCTATGGGTCTAAACTCCAATTACTGTAAAGATAGAGCAGCCAAAGAGTATTTATGATTTTTCTAACGTATTCTTCTCAGCTTAACCTATATATTTTACGAAGACATCAATGAAGAAATGATCAACAGAGAATCAATAATCCTTACTAATATTATAAATGCGAAAGTAACTCTGTCTGTCTGTCTGTCTGTCTGTCTCACTTTCATGCCAAAACTACTGAACTGATTTAAATGAAATTTGGTACCCATATACCAAAGACGCCGAGGAAGGACATAGGCTACTTTTTAATGCGAAAAAAGGGTTGTAAGGGGTTGAAAATGGTAATGCATGCTTTATGCGGTTGAATACACACTTATTATAATACTGGCTTAACTAAAAAATTAGATATTTTGGAAAGTCTACTTTATAATTGTGGTATTAAGTCTATATTCAAAAATTTTTAATTTCTGAATTACACCAGTATTGTACTAGATATGCGACTTATTAACGCTCATATGTCATAAATAAATATATATGTCATTTGTATAAGCAGCGCGTCAGCGCGCTTTTTTGGGTCAGTTTAATAAATACCTTACTAATATTATGAAAGTGAAAGTGACTCTGTCTGTCTGTCTTAAAAGCCAAAACTTCTGAACTGATTTAAATGAAATTTAAAGTCTAGATCTTGAGTTAGGACATAGGTTACTTTTTAATGCTAAAAAGGGTTATAAGAGACTGAAAGAGGAATTTTTTAAAAGTTTAAGCTTCAATCTTATTTTTTTGCGTATTGATTAAATATAATTAACGAAAATGGGTTGTAAGGGTCAAAAGGGGAGTTAAAATGTTGTATGCATGTATTGTCATTTTTTAAAGCTAGAAACTTGAAACTTATTTTTTAGGCTGTTGAGAAAATATCAGTACCTACCGCCACAGGACTCAGCCATAAATAGTTACAGTATAGCGACATCTTATCATTGGTACATGATGACACTAATATAAGTAGCATTAAAAAAAAACAAGAAAAAGGGTTATAAGGGGTTGAATGGGGAGATGTAATGTATGTATGGTATGTATGGAAGTATCTTCATTTTAAAGATAGTAGTTTGAAACTTAGTTTTTGGCTGTTGATTGAATTGTATGGAATTATGTATGGAAATTTCATTTTTGAAGCTTGAATGATGAAACTTTTTTATTGGGTTAGATTATTAATATATATTTTTTATTATTTGCTCAAAGTCACTATTTTACGCGGACGAAGTCGCGGGTACAGCTAGTAGATTTCATATTTCAAAAAATTTTCAGTATATTGTAATACCTAGTATACTAAAAGGAAACTTAGTTTTTAATTACGGAAAAATATTATATCACTTGTGATGTAGGAAGTAAATAGCTTCTCAATCTAAACCACACGACTTTAATATCTCTCATGAATGCACGTCATACATCTAAAATTTATACAATGATTGCAAAATTACTTACTTCATTAATTATATACGTAAGAAGGTAAGTAAGGTAGGTTATATCGTTAAGAAGATATTATTATATTATATATATATAACAATTTATTCCTATTTTAAGGATCTAAAAATAAAATTTTAATTTTTCATACTATCTCGATGACGTGGAGTCAATATGAATATTCCAGAATTTATTTACTATATCACATTATTTCTTGAGGAAAGTAGCTTCATAAAAAGATCCCAAGACTGACCGGTCTTGAGTATCTACAAAAAGCTTTGTTGTTTGGAGATTTATGATTAATATAATTGTTTGCAGATTTCTCATTTAATATTAATCTGTTAAGACTCATGAGTACACATTAAATCACTGGATCTAAGCTCAATTCCAAAAAATATTTCTCAATTAACCAGGAATTAACCAATAATGGTAGCGAACCGTGTGGCGGTCGACCTGATTAGAGTAGAATATATTGGTAGCAATACAACTACTAGCTCCTGTTACTAACAATTTCCTCTTTCGTAATACCATATAGGTATTAAAAACAATAAATCATGGAATATTATGTATAAACATTATTAAGTCTCTATTTATCACAACGGACTTGATATTCTATGATAACGTTATAATGAATTTGTACAATACTAGATATGGTACACAGACAGATTTAGATATCAAATAGATAATGTGCATTTATTTAGTTCATAATTATCTTTCGTTATTGTTCTCTTAGTTAAATAAGTATCACATTATTATAGCTGATCTGATAAGATACAGTGGGTTTTAAATTTAAACAAGCTGTTTATTAACTCCTGTTCAAACATGCCATTGAATACGTTGGCTCGTCATTTTCATTATCCCGGATGCTGATTTTGTATTATAGAATATCACATTGGTAACCTAGCAGTAACCCGCTATTTCGTTAGCTGTTTATACTTACTAATTTCAATTCCCTATTTCACCTCCTAAAATACTTAAAATTCACACCATTATACTCCTATGTAATATACTAATATGTCATTACCTTTAAGCTTTTACTTTTATTTCAAAAGACCTAAAATTAGAATTTGATGTACATAAGTAATGTGCACGATATTTTTGTCAAATTATCTTACTGAGCCTTCACAAAACCGCTTTCGCTCCTTTTCTTATGCCTTTACTAATTTTTCTCAAAAATATAAATTTAATTTTAATTCTAAATGTATGCCTTAACACATAACTCTAAAATGGTTTTTCTCAATAAAAATATAAATTTTTTTAATAAAGAAATTATGAAACCCAAATGTATTTTAGACCAGAAATAGATTGTAAAATGTCACTCTGTATAAACTGGTTCTATGAATCAATATTTTTTCTAGTTATTTTTTGTAACACATATTACAATTTTTAAGTTATCTCAGTTTGCCTATGTGTGCAGTAGCATTCTCTAACCAATAGCGTCCAGTTTTAAACATTTAAAATACCCGCAGTATTTTAGCAGTTTCCAAAAATTTTAAGGAAAAATAATTTAATTAGTAACAAAAGCAGTTAGTTCATTATTCAGTTAAAAAAACAACATTGACAGTTTTATATGAAGTATAAAAGATAAAAAGGCACCTCCTGCAAATTACTGCAATTGGAACCACCAATAGTTTTAATATTAACTATTGGTGGTCCCTATTGCAATAGTAGGTATGATTTCATGCTTCAACATTATTCAGTATAAAATATTTTGAAACAAAAGAGAGATTGGTGCAAAACCCCACGAGAAAAAATGATAATGATTTCCGATATACCAATAGATATCTGTTCCAGCATGAAAAATAAAATCATTTTATGATAAAAATACGTAATAAAAATAATGAAAAGTTATATTTCTATATCATTATCTATGTTTATATGTATAATATCGAATGTATAAAACACGCATAATTACGCCTTTAGGTGAAGGATTTAGAATTTTTGGAGAATTATAACTTTCAGCTGTATACTATAGATTTCTTGAGTCTGAAGGAAACTGGAAAATTTATAACAACATAAACTGACATTTCGTGTGGACTTTGACAGATCACTAGATATTAGGCAGTAAAGTTATATAGTTTCAATTTATATCTTTTATCCTGCTTTGTCATGTACGACTTCCATATGCGTAAACAGTACTAAAGGTCCTTATAATTATTTGAAATTTTATGCACTATTCAATACACAAAGCGACGAATTTTCAAGGAAATTGCAACTTTTTAATACGTATCTATTTGTGTTCAATAATTGTTCATATAGTTTCTAAACATTAGGTTATTTTAATTCGTTTTCCCGTTTTGAGTCGTAATTGCTAATAGATGATAATTATTTAATGTGATATTATTTTGCTGAATTTGCGTTAATCATGGCAAATGTTTATTTTTTTACTATCTTTGCGTTTTTTTCGTACACAATTACAGTATGTAGAGCTTCAGGCACCGATATTGCGCTAGACGCAAAGGCCACTCTATTACATCGTATAGACAGTTTAAACCTATTAATTTACACTTGTCTTCTAACTCTGACCGTTTTAACTATTTGGGTGTTTAAACATCGTCGAGTGAGCTGGCTGAACGAAACAGGATTAGCTGTTATATATGGTAAATACCTGTTTTTATAAAAGGTGCATCATATGATTATTTTTTATCACTAGACCTTGGTTTTTTAACAGTTCAATGAAATTACATGTCATTGTATTCCTGAGTCCTAGAAGAATGTAATTACCTAATTAAATTAATATATACCTATGGTGTTATGTATGTATGTATGGTGCTAAATTATTTATACATTAAAAGAAATGTTATTATTAAAGGATGGTTTATAATTTGTAACTAATGTGTCTTTCATAGGTTTAATAGTAGGTGCAATAATCCGTTATGGAGGCAGTACAAATGAAGTCACACATATTGATGCTCACCCTGCACCAGAGAGCAAGTATAACCTCTCAGTGCCACCGGACATGCTGTGGTTCCATTTCCCAGATAAAATACAAATCTCATCTGGTGGTAAGCTCAACATTGAAACTATTATAATTAAAATATATCTTAAAGATGTCTAGAATAGAATTGATCAATTTTTATGACAGCCAAAATCCTAATTCCAAGAATGTTTATTCTATACATATAGTACAAAATTGATACAGTAATAAGGTAAATTATGTTACATATAATATCATATTAAATTATATGTTGTGGTGGGAATTTATGAAACTGACAGTTACAAGTTATAATAATTGTATTATTACAACAACATTGTGTAATTATGTAATAGATCCTATAATATACAGGTGTAGTAATGATTAATTATTTTATTGTGAAGTCTGTGTTTCTGTCAACACTACTGATTTAATTATTTTGATTTATGTACATACTTTGGTTACTGTTCACCTTACATTTATTATAACTGTAAATTGTAGCCATGTGCACTATTTTAATATAGCTTTTATAAAAACAGATTAGTTTCTTGTTAGTTCTTTATGACTGGCTCTACATTTTGGAGATGATAATAAATTTGACATATTATAAGTGGCTGTAATAGAAATAAAGTAATTTTGATATGCTTAGTAGATAAAGTGCTTTTCATCAAAGTACTATATTTTTAACATTACTGTTTATATGTTATATATAGGACATACTTAAAACCAAAAGAATATATAGTTATCATATGTTTTCTCACATATTTAATGGCACACCCTGATAGTACAAGTGAGAAATTTTACTCTTCAATTGTAATAAATATATAGAATTTTATTTTCCAAATAACTTTAACTTTACATTTCTCTAGTAGAGGAGAGACTATACTAATATTTTAATATGTTATTTATTCTATATATATATTATATTATTATATACATAAATTAGTGTGGTAATGACAAATGTAATAAATTAAATATTATGACAGTTACCATATTTAACACTGTTTGTAGTATATTTCAGTGTATAATTTTTTTTAGAAGTTCCTGTACCAAACAAAACTTATGCATACAGCTTTAGAGGAGAAATAGTGAATATAGAACAAAATGAAATAGATCTGAAAGCTACTTTTGACCCTGAGATATTCTTTAACATAATTTTACCTCCTATTATATTTCATGCAGGATATTGTCTCAAACGTGTAAGTATCTACTGTTTAGTGTTAAAATAAAAAGTAAAAATATTTCATTTATTATAGATGGCTTAAGACCATCCTTATAGCAGTTATATGATCATGCATTTGAAATACGAAAGATGATCCATATTATAAATATATATTTCTTAATTCTGCTCATCTCTGGGTATATGTTATTCAGTGACTTCTGGTTATACTCTCCCTTTACAATCTTAAGGAAAAAAGATAGGAAAGCGGATGCACATATATGAAGTATCTAAATCCATATATATTAACATATAATTCTTCTCATTTTCAGAAATATTTTTTCCGAAATTTGGGTGCAATACTAACATTTGCTATGGTAGGAACAGCATTGTCTGCATTAGTCATTGGTGCTCTTATGTATGGCTGTGTACAATTGATGCCTGCATCTCTGGCCTCAAGCTTCACCTTTTTAGATACTCTGTATTTTGGTGCATTAATTTCACCGACGGATCCATTAACTATATTAGCAATTTTTTCACAATTAAAAGTAAGTAAATTTAATTATAGTTATATATTATAATATTCCAATAACATCAGTTTTACCTCTTGCATAAAATAAAACGCGAAGTAATGCTTTTGTGTATAGTATCGTAACAGAGATTAACCATTTTTACTGAGCCAAAATTAGTATCCTAATATCAAATAATTAAAAAAGTTAATCCAATATATACTCTATCCTAAGTTAGGTCCCCAATTTATTACAAATGCTTCTTAAATGACAATTTGTAAGTAAAATGTGGTGAACTTGAATACCAATATCAGTACTAAAAAATATTTTTTCAGAGTAGACTAATTACTTACAACTTATTTCAAGAAAGAATACCTTTAAATGTAATTAAATTAAAAGTAAAAGAAATACTACTTTTATTAAAAAAAAAATTGTACTATCTATTTATAATATTTTGTTTTCTTTATTTGAAATAAACATTTAAAACATGTTAGTGCTTTCTATATACTCTGTTAATTTCAAATAAATTTAATCTCATAATTGTGCTATCTGATATTATATTTCTAGGTAGATGTCAATCTTTACGCTTTGATTTTTGGCGAAAGTGTTCTTAATGATGCAGTCGCTTTGGTCCTCAGCGGGTAATAAACTTTATTTATTTGCATAAATTTTAAAAATATAAATAAGTCTGCTAACTGCCTAGCAATAACAATTATAAATAATATAATTGTATACTTTGTTCCATAAAATAAGTTAGCATGTTACTATTGGCATAATATAATAAAAATATTAAGGAAAAATATTTGTTTTGCTACATGAATATCAATGAGGGACAACTATATGTCACCAGAGTTACTAATGTATTTTCTAATATACATTTACTTACATTACTATTCAATGAAAGTATTATATCATTGGCCTCCCGCCTTTGTTCAGCAGTGGACGTCTTCCGGGCTGAGATGATGATGATGATGATTCTATCATTATTTATATTATCATGTATGTAATTGACTTTGTTTTGCAGTGCCATACAAAATTATGAGGAAAGATACTCAAACGATGGCGGATTTGAAATTACTGCGTTCTTAGCGGCAATTGGAGACTTCATTGGAATATTCAGCCTTTCTCTGCTCATTGGTGCTTTTATGGGCTGCCTGACAGCATTGATATCCTTTTTATTATTTATGCTTATTGATGTCAAGTCTCAAAACACAAAACATATCTAAATATTGAAATCGAATACTTGATAAATATATTTCCGAAGTATTGAGCAAACCTACAAAATATACTTTATTCATATGTATACCTTAGAAAACTATTTTGTATAGCGAATTTACATATATTAAATAAATGAACAATTTTTTTTTCTATTTCATTGTGTACATCATGAGATCAAGAATGTTAAAACTTAAATATATTATATATTGTTCAACCTAAAACACACAATTATGTAAAACAATATTGACACATTTTACATGAATCCTGATATACTGATATAGTAATTATTTGTTAAAATATAATACCTTAATCGAAATACACATGACTAAATTTACTCATGTAAGAGAATGGCCATTGTTGGAGTCGTCGCTCTTCGTACTCATGTCATACGCGGCTTTCCTTATTGCTGAAGTTTGTGAGCTAACAGGTAAATGTTGGATATTTTTTTAATAGTAATAATTTATTCTCATCTCAACGTTCAACAAAATTAATGATATATGTACACGACATTAGCATAACATTTGTTGGTTAGATAGACGAGTTTATCCTGAACATGTTTCTAACAAATTTGTTATTTAATAGTAATCATTAATGTTTTATCTATAGGAATCAGATTAGCACCTCACATTGCTCAATTACAAAAAAAAATATTTACCCCATACTAATTCGTATTGTCGTTTCTGCTTTATTATTTTGTAGGACTTTACTAAAGCATACCAGTTTTTTTAACAAGAGTATTGTAACTTTTTAGACATACACTAATTTCTGTATCCTTAGTTCTCATGTCCGATACAATAGTTTTACAAACCACCGAAAGTGTTGATATTCATGTAAAAAATAGCAAATATTTTCCTATTTTTAAATGAATATCAACACTTATCTACGCGGTATTTTCAATTCTGCTTTTGAAGTTCAATCTGTTTATCACATTGCTCGCTTGTTAACTCTCCGCCGTAGGAATTTTAAGGATTATTTCTTTTATTTATACTACGTTTGCATCGAAGTCTCAGGAACGGAAATCAAATGGAAATTAATCTCAGCTATTTACATTTATTTATACGATTCTATGATTTCACTTTGCAAAAATCAAGATTATGACTACTACCCGTCATAATTCATTTCATATGAAAATGTCTATTTATAAATTTAATGTTTTATTTTAATAAAGAAAATATATTTTAAAATATTATTTGTAAATTTTATATTGATAATTTTTCTAATGAACTATTTTTCAATTTTACAGGAGTGGTAGCGGTTCTATTCTGTGGTATATGTCAAGCTCACTACACTTACAACAACTTGTCATCGGACTCAAGGAACCGAACCAAGCAACTGTTCGAACTCCTGAACTTCCTAGCTGAGAACTTTATATTCACATACATAGGCGTTTCTATGTTCACCTTCCCTAAACACCACTTTGACCCGTGGTTCATCATCGCTGGATTTGTATCCTTTGGAAAATTTTAAGAATTATGGGATAATAACATTTTTTTTAAGTGATTAAAAAAATCGTATGTGTACTGTAATATCTTATACTGTCATAACTCATAACTGATGATGAGCGGTCAATATGGCCCTTAAAAAGTACTGTCATCATAGTACCATTCTGGCACATAATATTTTCACAGCTTGCATATATCTTTTATCACGTCCTTTTTAGGAAGGAGAAACATAGACGGAAAAAGAATTCCACAATTGAATGACCCAACACAAGTAAGAATACGCGATTCTATGTAGCGTATTAAGTTTTTTGGTAATAACTTTTACAATCAAGGTTAAAATTTAAGTTTTAAAATTTACAAGTAAGATTTACTGTGTTCGATACAAACTTAGTTATTGCTGTAGTCTGTTTTTTGTGAAAGAAAATCTTAAATTATTAAACTAGAAGTTTCTGTAATGTTATGCTGTGGCCTTTCTATTAAAAAGAAATTTTATTATTTAACAAATAAAACATTAAACAGTACTTTACAATTAATTCTCCTTCACCAATATTTATAGATTACATCAACTCTAGGACGTGCCGTTAATATATACCCGCTGTCATTCTTATTAAATTTGGGCCGCAAACCACCGATACCTATGAACTTCCAGCATATGCTCTTCTTTGCTGGTAAGATTTATTTATTTTGGCATAATTTTGAAAATTGTGCTCTTAATATCATTATTAAATAATTTAATTTAACAGATAGATGCGTTTTCTTGATTATAGGTATCAGAATAATTCACACTTACTATCCTTAAAACACGTTCTAAATACATTATCTAAGAAACAATTCATATTTTCATTTCAAATACGTTTCTACCATAACATAACTCTTTATTTCCTCCCTCCCATTCTGAGCACCTAGTTAATTTTTATTTCGTCATTGACACTTTTAGACAAAAACGGTCGAGGTTTATGGATTTTCTTTTACACCGAAATTGTTAGATGGGCTGAAAAATTACACATTTGAACTCTTCAGGACTTCGAGGGGCGATGTCGTTTGCTCTGGCGATCCGCAACACAGTCTCAGAAGCTAGGCAAGCAATGTTAACAACAACGTCACTAATAGTGATTGCAACTGTGGTTCTGCAAGGTGGAGCCTCTACATATGCACTTTCATACTTACGCATACCCACCGGGTAAGTTATTTCTACAGTATTTATGAATAAACACTAACTGGAATTTTCATATTTGTTTTTGTCTGAATTATTGTTATATTGAATCGCGTTTAGTACATATTATTAATATAGTTAAACGGGTTTTAGCATGAATAAATTTATGCCAAATAAACGTATTTACCTCTATCGATCACCACGAATTGTACGGAAGGTCATAAAAATAAAGAAATACCCCAATTTTGACCGGGAAGATGGTCTAAAGTTATATCAGCGTGGAATACAGTCATGAATACAAACATGTTCGGTAGCATCAGTCAATAAGTGTACTGGATAGTGTAGATACCGTGAGTACTGTGTCGTGATATATCGTCGGACAATCTAATAACGCGAGTTGAACAAATTGTCAACCTATATATAATATATTATATAATCAACATTGACATTCGCTGTTACTCCAGTCATATAGAATATGTTCCCAAAGGAGGATATCTTGGCATTCCCTGGCCATAAAAACTATACAAGACTCGATAATGAGTGATCCTATTCTGGGAATGCCTGAAGACAACATGACACTATGGTGCCATGTTGTCTTCAGGCATTCCCAGATTTGTACAATTTTACAAAATCGAAATATCTGGAAGAGACGAATGGCAAAATAACCATACACCGACTCACTCAGAGCATGACCTAGTCTGGTTTACAGACGGGTCCAAAATAGGAAATGATGTAGGATGTGGAATATGCGGTGTAAAACCCAAAATCTGCAACTATATAGGCTTAGGAAAATACGCCTCAATCTTTCAGGCAGAGACTTACGCCTTAATTAGATGTCTGGAAGTAATCCTAAGCCTCAACTACATCAATCAGAACATATACATTTATTCGGACAGTCAAGCTGCTCTACTAGCACTTAACTCGTACGAAATCCGTTCTAAACTTATTAGAAACTGTATTCTGCTACTAAATGAAGTAGGAAGCAGAAATAATATTATACTGAGATGGGTCCCCGGGCATTCAAATATTGAAGGCAATGAGAATGCCGACCATCTGGCAAAGTTAGGGGCAAAAACCGTCCAACTGGGCCCCGAACCCTTCTGTGGTGTGCCTCGTTGCCTAAAACTGGGACATCTCAAATTAATAACCAAACGAGAAGCACTAAATCACTGGCAAGAAAAGCCAGAATTAACACATTCAAAAGACCTAATATCGAGCTTCTCGACCAAATACTCCAATAGACTACTGCTATTGAGTAAAAACAACATATGCATGATGACTAGGGCCCTCACAGGACACTGCAAATTAAACAAGCATATGGCTAAACTAGGCCTATGCACGACAAGTATCTGCAGATTCTGTCAAACTGAAGAGGAAACGCCGCTTCACATCGTATGTGGTTGTAGCCCACTCATGCATAAACGAAATATCTCCTTTGGAAGGTTTACACTCTTTCCCGAGGAGATAAAAACGATCGCTCCTAAGAATATCCTTCAATTCTTGTCCCTGACGGGTCTAGGTAGCGAACTCTGAAAAGGGCGAGCACAATAGATCTATGTAGGTCGCAGTGCTACAGGTGCTACACATCTGCTAATAGCCCAAACAATCTAATCCAATAAAAAAAAATACTCCAGTCAGCTCATGACCAGGGCCAGTCGCAACCAAGTCGAAACGATGAGAGAGATAAATACCTTTATTTGTCATAAAATTATCCATTACATATTGTTTAAATTTTAGAACGTTAACCTATACTCCGCGCGCTACATTGTGTGCATCACAGACATACAGACTGCTACAACAGATAGTTTAACAAAAATTAATTGTATTTTACAAAAATGAGTATATGTCATTATTGTTAAATAGGTTTTAACTCCAAACAAATTCCCTCAATATAGCAATTTTATAATAAAACTGGAAAATTGTCTGCTGTAGTCAATGTTACAGGGCTACCTGAAGTATAATATAAGACATTTAGCATTTTCCTGCATCTGAGTTTTGTATATATACAAATAAATTTTCAGACAAGGCCAGAATGATGAGAATGAAGCCCTTCCCTATCGCGACGTGAGGAGTGTAAGTTATTCTATAAATATATTGACTTAATTTTACTAGTAATATTGTACGAAATGTAGCAGCACCAAAATTTAGGATTGCTGTGCAACTAATTAATTATTTTTGTTTCGTACATGTCAGGTAGAAAAAACAATCGTTCAGAAAATGTTAAGTACTAGGTACATACGTAATTCGATAACATCTCTTTGTTGCTTCATTATTTGTCCATGCGTGTTCACCATATAAAGTGCTTTCTTAGTATTCAATATTATAGGACATTAATAAATAACCATGTAAACTATTATTCCTAATCGTGGTTATAAGCCCACTGAGATATCAATAAATCGTACTTACATATTTACAAACATCATTGCATTATTTTACGTATTGTGATATTGCCACGTAGTGTTTTCCGTTCAAGTCATTAAACACGCTTCCACGCAGTTCTATTAATAAGATTGAGTGCCTCCTACAGCCAATTATTTGCATAGACAATTTTTAAACCAGCATGCAGCCAGAAGATTGTTAATCTAATTAAATTGATATATAATATGTTATAAAGATCCTTACAGGATCTTTTTGATTCATGGAACTTATATTTTTTTATATCATAATTACAATTTCATCATCTAATTCAACTACATATAACTAAACCTAAACCATTAAATATATCTCTGGCTGAATGTACAGGATGTAAATTTCTCAAAATCTGCACTATAGAAAAATTGGTTGAAAGTAGCACACATTGTACAGTCACATATGATAACGCACTATGGAAACTGCGCATATGGACCTGGAATATAATTAATAAGTCATTGTTGTGGCAGCTCTACCAGGCCACGGACTCGGGCGGATCGGTACGTATTGTAAATACGAACGCACTTGAATGAAGCTTTATGAGTTGTATTGTAATCTCACGGCGTTTATTACATACTCATTCGCAAATCTGCTTTAAAACAGGTGAAGGATTAAATTCGTTTGTGTATACAATGCTGTATACTATATTCTTTTAAATTATAAGAATTTTAATGTTATATATGTGGAACGCTGCATTGAAAGGTATATAACCTTGTAATGTTCCACATTTATATCAATAATTTTTTTTTTTATATACCTACTATTATAAAATTTAAGGCAGATTAATGCATAATCATATATACCTACAAACAACTCGAAACTTGTAAGTATTTATTCATGTTCATTAAGTATATACATATATTTCAACACAATAATGCATCGAAAAGGTTTAATAACTCAGTAGGTTAAAAATTAACATGAACAATACTTACAAATCCTTACCATAACACCTAAGTGTTTGATTGTTATTCTTCGATAGTTCAAATAGACAGTGACGAGGCGCTTATATTTGGAAGTACCACTTAGAACAAAATTTCCTTTGAGGGGCCCTCTACCAGTTATGGACAACGGAATCGTATCGAATTGTACTAATATATCTTTACATTGTTACTCTACATTATTACATTCTCAAAGAATATGAAATCAGCCTAGGTTGTCTCTTCACTTGATTTGTAACCGCAGCCTGCTAAAAAAGCTCCTTTGATCTGGCTTTTCGACACTTTGTACATATGCTGGCATACTAAAATGTATTTATTATTCAGCCCGGTGACATAGGGTTCGGTCTTCGCAATATGGATTCTACGCAACCGGCCAGTTGCGACAGGGCAACAGTAAGACTAATAAATCGATGCACGACCATTTTATGATAACAAATACGCATATTGCACGCGTTACATTTATATGGCTTGTCTACTAACCGGTTGTGAGGTTGACAGTTGGTTTTTGATTTGAGAATTTAAAATATTTAATCTTTTTATTATTTTCATTATTTTTTACTAATCTTTTTCTCCAACCGTAACTGCTGTTTATATAGCATATAATTCTCAAAATAGAACCCATTCTAATAAGTACTTACACTTAGCTATGGTACAGTTTATTTTTTAATGTACATTTGTAATATCCAAAACGCGACAGCACTACTCATAATGTAAAGAATTTAAAAAGAGTTTTATGTTTGTTTATAATTCTTTAAAAAATATTCTGTAGCTCCTGGAATCATATCGTAAGTTCGATGCTATACGAAACCTAAAAGGCTATTCAAGTTTTTAGTTTCGAAATAAATTAATTTATGTGATTGTTTTATTTTTCACTTGTAGATGTTACTTAATATACAATACATTCAATTGGCGGCTAAATAAGGTTTTATATAACATCTTACTTGGTAATAACTGCTATTTTAATTTTGCATGCGATTTTATTTTGTTTGATTTTCCTTTCAATATTAGAATGGCCGCATGATAGTTAAGTGGGACAAAGGAGATAATGAAGTTATTTTGCCTTGGCATCTAAACAACTACAACGTATGTACACCTTCTATTTCCTAATTGTATTCTATTCAAAGTACACATTATTTAAAATTTTGTTTCAAATTTATCTTGTTTTAATGTATGCTAGAGAGGAGACACAAATAGGCATTGTCACTTGCATGGCATGTTAGCATTAACTTTTCTAAAAAATAATATCAACCATCCTTACTTATATTAATAAACTAATAATTGTCTTTAAAACTTTTAGTTATGTAGTTTGTTTTTTTTTCTTTATAAAATACAATGTTGTAGAAACTTAAACATAATGTCTTGTTGCAGTGTTACCCTACTAATTTTGTACAATAAAATTTGCAAGTATAGTTTATTCATTAAACTTTTAAGTAAATAGTAACCAATACTCTCATTCACAGCAGACTGCAATCACTTTTCTTAAATATTGCATCAACCCTACATATAGATGAAATGTTATATCTGCACTTTTATTTATACTTGTAATAATATTATGTATTTGATGTATGTGACAGGAGGGACCACGTAATGGTGGTGATAAGGCACGTCTCGCACGACTTTGGGGCGCAGTGGACTCCAAATTGCTGAAACCATTATTGACGCACGCGAGGCCGCCGCTCACAGAAACACTACCGGGGTTCTTGAGACCCGTAGCGCGCGTGCTCACCACAACACACCAGTATACCCAAGGAGTTAGTATTACAGTTCTTTTTTATATGGAATAACATACAAGCTGAAGGATACCTGATGGTCGACCCATGATCATAATGTATTGCCTCTGGTTAATTCATTATATGTTAGTGCTTCGGTAAATATATTGATATTTTTATAAGTGCCAAATTGTCTTTTTATAAAAAACTTATTCTTCGTCATTTTTGCAGGACAATAGCCTTCGCAGAACTGACTCAGATTCCGATTTATGTATTGACGAGCAGCAACCAGTACCTACAAGTATCGATCCGCAGGTAGAAAGAATATATATTTAATGCGTAAATTTATTTACCTTTAATGAAAAAAAAAACATGATAATATAATATGAATTTACCCATAACATTTTAATTCCAACTGATAAGAGTTTTCTGATTTGTGAAAAGTACATTATGAATTATTGCTATTCTCTTGTTTGCTAAAATATTATAATATTTATGTAGTCTATATATTTTGTTTATTATTTCTGTATTTCTCTTGGTTGCAGCTGTCAATTAATGGTCGGAATGGATATGGGCATGTCTGAGCTTTGTAGCATTAGTGATTCCCGGCTGTGATATAAAATGATAGTAAATAGATTCTTTTTAATTAATAGGCAAAACTTTTAATTATTGCACGCAGCAATTGTGGCCTGGACACGTGGATACAAGGATCTCTGTAGAAGGTATCACTGGCAGTAATATATAGATACACAATAATATAAATATAGCTCTTATCAATATCTCTCGCAATAACGCCTCAACAGATCAAAAACCCTATGTATGTAGATCTTGAGTAGAGATAGTAGAGAAGTTTTCTAAGCTCATAGTGCCACAATATGTAACTGTATTTTTTTTAGTTATAAATGATTATATATATATTAAAATCTGGCCGGTGTGACTATAACATTGCTACTTTGTATCAACTCTGTAACAGTGTATTGTATTTTATACCACTGAAGTGGTAATGAACACTTTTAATTGTTGTACCTATATTATAATAGTCAAATAAGTGACCCAATATCCTACTAGTATGTGTTAAACATGTGATATTAAGTGCTTGTTACATGTATCTAGGGTTGACTGGCATTAGCCTGAAAATTACTAATTGTAATTTTACACTATCAAAGTACTCAAATTAAAGCTGACAAATTATAGTTATTGTTCTTAGATGACAAAATAACCATGTAAAACAGGACAACAGGATGGCATAAAAATTAAAATTTTTAGCAACCCTACCTACCTGTATAATAAGCAAAGATATTATACAAGGTAACATTGGATCTGAAAATATAAGTTCTTTTGAGAACTACTATCTTTCTCTTTATAATATTATTCTTATAAATTTCCATTATTTTAAATCTAGTCTACAGTATAAAAATTCTATTTAGAGTAGTAAATTTGTTGACTATACCAACCAGTTTAAATTTGTATTAATTTTGTATTACATGATCTATTTAATGGATATATGTATGTACATTAATGTGGATGTTTTTGTATTATTAATAAACCACAATTCTTTCAAATGTAACCCCATTTGTTTTTGTGTTAAATTACACAATATTGTTTGTTTCTATATTTTTGTTATTGTAATTACTTTGTTATAATTATTCTATTTTAGTCTGACATACTAATAGACATCTTTATTAATTCTAATTCTGTTAGTGTGTCAGGGGACTAAAATAATATGTGTTTAAGGTTTATAAAACCAGTTTAAATAATGTACTGTATAAAAGTTACTTAATTTTTTTTCTAATACAAACAAGTTGTGTTTTTACATTTGACAATTGTGCATTTTTATAAGCTTTATAAATAGCATATAATTAAAAAAATTGTATGTTGCTGAGACTATATTTTACACCATAAAAATATAGTTTTATTACACCACATATATTATATAATTTGGGTATACTTTAATTAAGATTATAATAGATACCACAGGGTTCTTCTAAGTGTTTAATATGTGTGCTTATTTTATCTATCTATGCAAATATATATTTTTTAAAGTAGAGGTCTCCAAATTTTTTAGTAATTACTATTAAATACTACAGTATTAAATATTTAATACTGCAGTTTGTGTATGGTCACAGATAAATACTGAGCTGCAGCTCATGCTCATAGTTTGGAGACACTACTTATAAACACTATGCAATGTCAAGTTTTTAAATAATTGGATTTGTTTATTTTAATAAAGTTGTACTTGTAACATGTGTCTTTTAATATAAACATTTTCATATCAAATTGTTAACTTTATTTAACATTTCTTTCTGACAACTTATCACCTGCCTGTCTCCCTAATAGCTCCCTCATTTCTTCTGTAACCTTGAATTTTTGACCATGGCCAGGTACTATCCAGTCTGCAAGTTTAGCTACTTTACACCTATTTTTAAATTGTTCTGCTGGGTCATCGCTGCCTGCTTCAAGCCATATATTTGGGTTTTCTATATCCTCATATTTCTCAAATAAATCTCCTGAAAAGTCCCATATTTTTTCAAATATTGTCACAACTAGAACTACATATTACAAGTTACAAATAAATAAATAAATATTATTTACCAGTTATAGCAACTATATCTGCATCTTTTGATACTACAAGAACTGTGACATCAGAGAGAGTGTGTCCTGGAGTTGGTATGAGCTTAACACTATTATTAATAGTGTATTCCTCACCTTTAAATCAGAAATGTTGTTATATATCAACTTATGTACTCATTAAAATAATGTTTTATCAGTATACATATATGTTACCTTTGTCAAAGGGATGTGCATAATATATATCTTTAAAGGAAATGCTAAATCCTACTATATGTTTAGCATTTAAAAAAAGATTATTATTTCCTATGTGATCAGAGTGACCATGTGTTGATACAACATAATTTATTTGCTCCGGTGTAATATTTTGTTTCTTTAGAGCTGCAAATTAAGTGTAATCTAAATAAAAATTACATATTTAACAATAATAAATGTATGAATAATATTGTACTATAGAGAACTAGGCTAACCATCTACGATTCTATCGGAATCCCAAGCAGTCATTGTGTCCACTATAATATTATGATCGCCTTTTATAAGTGTGCAACTGCAGTTAGCTTTCATCTCGTCCGTACCGCTCATAACGGAAAATCCATCAAATAAAACTACTATTTCACTCATGATTCCTACAGACCTTTACAATAAAATCGTGTGATAATTTGTAATACTATAAACCGTATTTTCTATAATATCACACTAAATAGGAAAAGTAATACGGCAATATTTATTATAGTATATTCATTATGTTATTTAAAATTTTAAACACAAAAGACACAGAGTTCAAGAAATAACTACCTCACAAACTAAAAATATGATTCTATAATTACATTTTTAAATTACAAATTAAATACCCAATTTATTAGTAAGTGTGAATTATTTTTTTCATTTTCAAACCAAAACTGCATTGACAATGACCGACAGATTAGGTGACATTATTATAGTTAGTTAGTAATGTCACTCATTATAACTTAAAAATATAAATAAAGTCTTATCCTTTAACTAATATTGTAATTTTCAATTGTACACAAAAGTAAAGTTTTTAAGTCATAGTATTTAAAATATAGATTACTTTAAATACATTGTCATTACTTATGTAAAATACGAATACAGATTTGTCTGTGCCTTGACGCAGTATGTATCTAGAATATCGGTGTTCTGTGGTAGGTATTGTATAGCTACGAATCCCATCTACCGTCTCAGCTGTCTTCGCCGGTTATTTTTAGGTTAAAATCTAAAATAAATTTCTAAAGCTGTGGTCGTACTTTCATGTGTAGGTTATTTTAAAATTTTCATCGTGCGCCAAAATTTCCTTTATACTTCATGAAAATTGCGCATTTGGATCCTTATTTATCTCGTGATCTTTTATTTGTAAGTTCATTGCATTGTAATTCCATTGTTTACCCAGGGTTATGAAACAATAAGCACGTCTCTGTCGCCTACGGAGCGTCAGTTCAAAGCGAACCATGTCAGGCGATGTACAACCACGAAAACGTAAAGACAAAAAAAGAAAAAAAGGTAAGACGAGTATCAATTACGTTTACTTATATTGTTAGATTCCCAAAATAATTTATTTTATTATATATACTGTTAACAGATGACTTAGGGGTTGAAGAACCTCGTGGTACAGCAGCTGTATTTGGTGAAGGCGATGTGTTCATACACTCCCAGCATGACCATGGAACTGGTGGTCATTGGTGTGCCAAGATCATATTCTTTTCTCTGCTGGCTGTATTAATTACTCTTATTGGATTGATCATTTTGGAAAATAGGGGCATTACAGAATGTAAGTAGAATTATAAAGTGAATATAGAGCTATACTAATTATAATTAATATTTTTGTGTTTAATAATATATATTTTGTGTCATCAGTGTATATTATAAGAGATATAACAAATAATAATTATTACTTTTCTAAACAGTGGAAGCTAATTCTGTTGAATCCCGTTACTCTGGTGTTTTGGAGGGTTGGCTTGAAGATGTGCCTGATGATGACCATCATGATGAACACACATTAGAGCTTAATCATCCAGTAAGTTACATTATGATAATTAGAAAATAGTAATAAATAAGTTAAGTTAATATGTATGCAGTAGTGTTATTTCATGATTTAATTAAAATCTAAATTTCATTTAGATGTTAATTAAAAGTTTGTAGCCAATGTTATGGTTATGGTAAAACACCCAATTATGGGTGCTTGTTGCGTAATTGCTTTTATAAATTCCATTCAACAGTAGTCTGAAGTAACATTTGGCACTTATAAAATGGGGTAGTTAACAACTTATTAATAAGAATTATTTAATACTCTTTAACTACTAAAATACCTACCTAGATCATCAATTTTAAAGTTATTTTTTTTGCAAAATTTATTAATATCTAGGATGATGAAAATAGTCATGGAGATGATGATCATGAACTTGATCACAATGAGAATGATGATCATGATGAAGAAGGAGATGATAATGGTCATAATGAGGAAAGCAATTATGAAGAATCTGATGATGACGATGGTTATGAGCATACCGAAGAAGATCAAGATGATGAGCATCAGGAACAACAGGATGATGAGCAGGATGAAGATCATGATATAGAAGAATCTGAAGAGGTGGGATCTTCCTGTAACATGTTACAGAATATGTATAGGTAATTGTATTAAACAGAATTAAAAATGTAAAATATTATAAATTTAAGCAGGATATACAGGAACTACCAAGGTATAGAAAATATTTCGGAGATGACAATAAAGAAAATTATGGTGAAGATAATGATGAAAATGACGACCTACAGACAATAGACGAAAATGATAGTCAAGAAGTAGACTTAAATCATTATAATGACGATAATGATGATAGCAATGAAAATGATAACGACATTGATAATGATAAAAGTACTGAAAACACTAATGATGATGAAGAACAAGAAAACTATGACAGCGAAGATGATGAGGTGCAACCAAATTTGTGACGAGTGTGATTTTTGATTCATTGAGTAGATTTAATAAAAAATTTTATTATATTGGCAATATTGGCACTAACACTTCTAAAGCTTATCTAAATTTCACAACAGGAGAAATCGCACCTTGACTAAATTAAACAGAAGTTTGCATGATGCATCACTGTCATTATGAGTTATTTTATAATTAATGTAACTCCTAAAAGTAAAATTTTAGGCTACGACAAACTGGACTTTTCAACAATAAAATATGATGTTACATTGTAACATTTGCTATAACATGTGTAAATTAAATCAACATTATATTAGATAATTAAATCTTTGTTGTTTGTGTTGCTTTGTTATACTGATTTGAGACATTAGATGTTTTCAGAGCTTGTTTTAAGTGCAAAATGTAACACCTCAGAGCTACAACACCCGAATCATTTTCTGTATTAAAATAACAATAATGTTGTATTTGTTAAGCCTTCATATTATGCTAATACATACTTCTAAAGTAATTATTTTTTCACTTCAATGTAAAAACACTTGAATATTTATATTTAAGTTCACGCCGGGGCCAACTTTAACGTTTTTTTTGCTCCGCGCAGCGCTCTAATTGATGCTACGATTCATCTGGCGGCGCGAGGCCACCAGTGGTACACGGCGTCCAATGAGGCAATCTAGCGCAGGCGTGAATGTGTTAAATATTTTGTACCATAGGCTTAGATATAATTAAATGACTAGAAACACAGTTAGCTTTTCTTACAAGAAATAAAAATTTGATGATGATTGATTCGTATGCAGAATGTATATATAAAAAATATATAGTCATTATTGTTATAAACACATTTTCAGGATGAAGAGCATGAAGAAGAAGAAGAAGATACGGAGGTGGAGTTAGAAAGAATAGAGAGGGAATTACCTGATGAAGAACCTATTTCAACGGAACTACCAGCATTACCTGAGGAAGATTTTAACGATGACAAAAGCCAAGGTCCTTATATCTTTTTTTAAATATTTTGTATGTATGTAGATAAATGCAATTTATAGTATAGAATATATAGATTTTTAATTGTAGAAGTAACGAACGAAATCCAGACCAGCAAAGAAGAAGATGATGAACCTGATGTTGATGAAGACTTTTTAGAAGCAGAGGATGATGGAGAGCCCCCTATAGAACGCATAACAATTCCTGCTGGAAAGCCCTATGTCGAGGTATGATAAACTGCTTATTGCGAAATATAAAAGTCATAATTTTTTGACTGGAAACAATTTTTATATACTACTCTGTCACAGACAGTTGTATATAAAATGTTTTCAAACATATTGTGTTATTATGATTCCTAAAGTAATACTTATAAAAAGAAAATAATTTTGAATGATAGGACATCTTAAGATGAAATTCAAAATTTAAGAAAAAAAATACTGTTTTATGTCTATTATAAAGACAATTGTAAGCTTAGGTCCCCTTTAACTAGATACATTTTTTAAAAACGTACGTTTAAAACAGTACCTCTAATCAAAAGGTATCAATATTATACATATTTACAATCTATTTCCTCATAAAAACTTCTATTTCTAGTTTATTTAATTTAAACGTTACAATGCTAGTATATAACTACAGGTGGAGGAAGAAGCATCATCTGAACAACCACCAGATACTCTCACTGAAGAGGAAGAGTATGAGAGACAACAAGAAGAGCTTCGCCGCGAAAAGGAAAAGTCATCACACAGTGAGTACTGAAATTCATTGAACAATCTTTACATAGATTACAACTTAACATACACAGAAGTAATTAGGATGGGTTCTAATTTGTTAAAGAAGCTGTTTACACTTAACTACCTTTCCTTTTTATTTATCAATAGAGACAATATAAGTCATAGTCAATAGTTATTAATTTAAACAAACTTTATTACAAGCACAATATTAATAAATGAATGTACCTATTAATGCAATGAAACTTCAGGATAAGTCTTATGAAATGGCAATGCATAAGTGCTATTATATTATGAGTGTAAAATTATAACATGTGTCCAGTGCTGTTTATGTGTATAGTCAACGGTTAATGCTTACCATTACATTGGTCATCAGCTTGTTTGTTATTCCAATTATGTAAAAATAATAGAACACATTACCGTAGGAATATTATACCTAAGCAAAATAAGAATAATGTTAGTAAAAAAAAAATTTACCGTATTGTCCATCCTAGTTATACCTGTGATGCTTAGCATAATGATGAGCTATTTTGCCTGACAATAATCAAAACAACCTCTTGCCTACTTACATTTTTCTGCCAAAGCTTTACACTAATAGCACTAACAATGCAACAAACTCACTTAAATTTATGTTGTCGTTGAAAGCTGTAAAAATAAACGTTCATTCGATGAATAATCTTTTATTTCAACCCTGTCACTTATCATTATGTTATCTAAAATTAGATATTTAATATTTCCAATTTTTTTGTTAAGAAAATGCCAATCTGTATAAAATAAATATGTAAAATATTACATATACTTATTATTATACTTGTAATGAATGAATCTTGTATAATTGTTTTTAATTATAAGTAAATATAGTAGTGTTAGTATAATATAGAAATGTAATAATAATAATACCTACACCAAAGTGTTCCGTTGTGATTTATAATCAGACTATTAGGGCCCATTTATTAATTTCATCATACGTTAAGGGGGAAAGGTTAGTACAAAGTCATGATTTGCACGAAAAAAACTACGTGATAAAACTCATGGATTGTTGAATGGATTTCGCTACATAATATTTTGAATTTTAGTACTTAAACACAAACGCAGCTATAAGAAGGGTGTCGGTAAAAGTTACTGAAATTACTGTGTCATAATTTATGAATGTCCCCTTTATTTATAAGAATATCGTTTTGATTGTCGTTCATGCATACGGATAGGGATATCGTACTTTAATATTTCTAATATTATTGAACGATTGTTACGCTAAACAACTGTATCAACAGCAAAGCACTTACTGATATTATAAATCGATAAAATTTAATATTGGTATCTTCAGTGAACACACCATTACCTAAATATACAAAATTAAAAAATTAGAAAATATATCTTTATACATTTATGCATATTTATTTATATGTCAGCAAAAAGCATGCGTTGTGAAATTCTTTCTAGTTGGGGATTTAATGAAAATATTGTAATATAATTTTATAGTATTAACTAGCTGGCCCGCGCAACTTCATCTATGTCACATTTTTCCCGGTATTACAACATTTCTCATTTATGCTCTGCTGTTATATAGCCTACAGCCTTTCTTGGTTCTCAATATTAATTACATAATTCCGCTATGCAAGACTAAAATATTTTTGTATTCATACAAATAGTTCCTGAAATTAGCGCCTTCAACCAAATTAATTCTTCAGCTTTATAATATCTAAACAAAATTCTAAAAAATTAATTCTAAAACTACCCTATACAAAATTAGTTATAAAGCTGACGTGTGGGTAACTGTTTGGAATTGGAAGGTTGTGTCTATTATTCTTTATGACTACTCCAGACGAGGACTTTGACCAAACCCTATCAATCATAATAAAATATCAATTCATAATAATTTTCCTGTACCTAGAATATTTTTTACCCATAATAATAAGGGATTAGACTGACATACAATGTAGTCGATTTTTATCAATTTAGTTGTTTCCAGCAGTAAAGCATTGCAACAATTTTAATTTTTTAATTATATTCAAGATTTGTAATATATTTACTTGATGTAAATTTGATTTCAATAATTTTGATGTAGATACCCGTTCGTCTTCTTTTCCAAGGACAAATTAAAATGTTGCTCGAGACTTCATCGGCACAAAATTTCATTCCCTATTTCATCCTTTCCAGATTATTTTTTTTAGTGAAATATATATTCATTATGTAAAATTTTATTAATATGCGTTTAGCCGTTTAGTTGTGAAAAGATAACAAACAGACTGACTGTATCTGTCTGCAATTTATAATACTAGTAAGAAAGATTTTTAATCTAATCTTAATTTAGTAAACGCTTATTACTGACTACACAACGTTCTTGTTAATGTTCAATGCAAAGCTATTTTATTTATTGTTCTAAGCATCTTCTAATGTCTGATAGATTCTTACCTCCTTAACTACCATACATATTTATAATCAGACACAACAACTTTGCATCACATCTTCATATCCAATACTATTTGTAACTATCACATTATTCTTTATAATTATGGTGGTAATTCTAAATAACCCAAGATCTTAAATGATTGCCTTTTTAATTATTAATTTATAGCATTGTATTTATATTTTTAAGAATTAATAAGAATAGAATTGTATAGTATTATTATGTTGGAGTCACCTGTTCGTTGAACATAGTCGGTAAACATAACTGGCAATATTTCCACAGTTATAAAGACTATCACATCACCATACTATACTTCTCTTCGTACTGTCTTGTATACTTTGATTTCATGAGTAAAATTAAAGTGTCACAACTTGAACATTAATTTCTTGTTTTTAAATAATACATCTCCTGCTTATACCATACATGGACCACGGGATAAGGCCCAAATAAGCTTTATCCAACTTGATATTGCAAATTACGTTTATATATATATATCCTATTGTATGTTATGCTATACACAGACGGGCAATGTAGCCAATACCGTCTCTGGAAAATATTTACAATATCATCATATCTGTTCGGAGTGGCAACTTGTCAGGTGTACCATAACCGACACAATTAATTGTATTAATTATTCATGTCGTGTGTACGTGCAGACCGTTATCCCTTTCAATTTGCTAGTGTTTGTTCGTAATATATAATAATATTAAAAAATATAAATATGAACTGCATCACATTCTCGTATATTTATTTACCATAACTATAGATATGACGACGTGTTAAGTTAATAATGTTAAGCAAACTTGTTGAATTAATTGTTTACTGTATTGCCAAATTTTGCCTTTATCATCAAAGCACCAGATTTTGACTGTTTACTACAATTATGATATTTACGGACTGTGGGAATATTTATGTTTATATTAAATTTACCCACAGGGTTCTGTGCTTATTCTAATAATTAATAAGTATGCTGTGTAAAAATAAAACAACTCGTTAAAACCGTCTTGGGAAGAAAATATTCCGACTTTTTCTATTCTTCTACCATATTTGTTACTAGCTACGAGCACCTTGGGACGCGTGTCATAAGGCCAGTTGGACATACTTGATTAGGTAGAACATTAGTTAACAAGCGAAAACATGAATTATAAATGCGAGTCGAATAGTGTTCAAAAATGTCCTTTTATAGTAATAGTTTTACTCGTATGGATTTTTATTCATTAATTACCGTAAAATTTGTTATCTGCCTTGTCCTGCCTTACTTGAGACATGGATATTGAATCGCAGTTCACCAGTAATAGTGACGACTGTGTAGCCTTCTGCTAAACGTCTGCCGCGTGTGTTGCAGTGTGGCTGAAGCTGAGTGTGGGTGGCGCTTTGCTGGTCGCCACACACGCGGTCATACGACGGGCCACAGCGCCTCGCGGTGCGTACATGCCCTTACTATCTGTAGAACACAAATATCTTTCTTACATATTACTTTATATTGCTCATTGCATCAAATTCTCAAAACATATGTATATCTTTTTTGCATATTCATATATCTATAAAGTAAAGCATTACTATACCGGGTTAACTACCGATTTCTAGTACAACAGTGGTTAAAAGTTATGATTTCTATATTTATAACATACAAACTAAAGATGCAACGTTTTCTATAACAGATGAACCCGCTACTGAAGAGCGTTCTGTTAGGGAAGAGACGCCTCTTTTGGATAGACGTATGACATTGATACCAGAAGAATCCCGTACACCTGGTAGGACAATATTTATTATTTCAAAACCAATGTAATACAATTTTAATATATTTCATTTAAACGTCATATTATTGTAATAGCTCCGAAATCCATCATTGAAGAAAGTTCTCAGCCAATGGTTAAGGAGATAATATCACAAATTGCGCCACAGTTCAAAGCACCATCTCTGCCACCGCAGGAAGAAATTGACGAAGAAGAAGAAAAACAAAGCGATGATGAGGTAAGTAAACAGTTGAAAATCCTTGAAGTTTTGAGTATTAAGAATGATATATTACGTATAACAGAAATTCTTTCCTTCTTATTCTAGGTTATTGTAACTACACAGGCTTCTGAAGTACCAAAAGACAAAGAACTATATAGTGACGAAGAAGAAATCGAAGAAGAGGACGAAGAAGAAGTTTTAGAAGAAAAGGAAACGGTAAAAGAAAATGTCCCAAAAGTCGAAGAAAATGCTATTCCTCCACCTGAACCAGAGCAAGAAGAGGACCCGGACGACGTTGAAATAATAGACGACGAGCAACTAGAAGAAGAACTAGAAGAGGAAGAAGATGATATCTCGGATGTTGATGATGTGGAACTTTTAACTCGTCTGGAAGCTAAATACGGTCGCCTTCCCGAACCTGAGAGGCCTGGACAAAAGCATAGTAAACACATCCATTTTGTGTGTTTCCTTTACATAGCGATGGCAAAGCATGTCTTCACTATTAACATATTAACATATTCAATGGCTTCACTAACATGATGTGAGTTAAAATAATTTTGTTGTATAAAATAAATTACATTACTTAGTTACTTTCCATACCTATAAAAGTAAACATACTTATTATTAAATTTGACGTAATAATTAGTAGCTAGTTTATAACTTTAAGTACGTCATAGCAACGATTGTCACTGAACTGAAACTATATCTACTACTAGCATTTCTGCATTATAGGAGACTGGTAGAAAACAACGATGGTACATAAGAAAGGTAAAGGTAGATAAACATTGCTAATATACTGCTATACGCATTAAAAGGTTACATTAAATAGATAATTTCACCGCGACTTTTATTGCCGTATTTACAGTGTAAAAATATTAAAAATCTGAAACACCAACTTGTTCAAATTTGTAATTGTTTATTAGCTTAAATTAAGCTCAATCTTAGTTTATCGATTAGTATGTAAAAAGAACTCTAATATAATAGAATATACGTGTACTTTGTGTATAATAATTTTATAATGTAAATGTTTAAGTTGTGTTCTAGTTGCCAAGTAATAGATATCAGAACATGCGCTTGCAACAAATTACTACCCACTCGCATGTCGTTATAAATAATAGTCCATTCAAAAATGTTATCTTCAAACTGCGTAGATATTGCGCTTACATATGAAAACAGGAAATAATAGTATAACAATATGTATAATGACAATTATGATGTATAATAAAACTGCATATATGAAGAATAAGTACAATGTATATATATATATATATGATCCGTATATGTATTTAGAATATGTCACATTCAAGAATTATTATTTTTTTTAGAAGACGGAGGTAACAGCATAGAGGATCAGTGGCCAGGGGAACCAAATGACCCCTTTTGGCGCCAAGAGCTCGACTCTGTTGAGGACCAACTTCAACAGGTATTTTGATAAATATTTTTAATTAATTTATTTATGATGTTGTAATCGAAACTTACAAAATTACTATCATCCAAAATCTTTAGTTTAATACTGACAATTTCGAGGAGTGTCAATACAAATTTCTATCGGGGCTTATTTATGAAATTATTGTGATTATGTACAATTCTTCAGGTATAATGTTGGTGTATTCTGCTTGTACGAATTGTGACTTGTTAAGTTTTGAATTGTTTGTGTAATCAATAATCATCTAATTGCCTGAATTTGTTGTAAAATGCTGAGTTCACTGAAGAACCACATATGAGATACATTGTTGCTTTGGTTCAAATTCTGATTGAGTTTTTTTTTTGGAATAGTATAATCTTGTCTTTAATAATAATATAGGTGTTGTTTAAAACTAAATAGTTGATTTACTTATACAAATTAACATCTTATTTGCATGGATATTGTCATTTCGATATTGTATAAATTTTTCTTGCACTGCATATATTCTTGTCCCACTATCTGCTTTCTGAATACACCAACAATTTTGTTTATTTATTTTATTTATACAACACAAGTTTAGTTTTATAATGATATAATGTTACTCGATTTCAGGAGTGGCTAGGCTAACTCGTTTTGCATTAATTTTTCACTTAAAAACTTTGCTCGTTGTGCCATTTTCCCTGTTTTGCCGTCGGCGGCGCCACCGGGTTGGGAAGTTCGCCCGCACCCCGCGTACTTCTCCCCCGGGGCGTCACCGATGCCTTTTCAATTAGATTTAGAAACGTGTACGTGAGACCATGCCTGATATAACCAAGTATTTCTTTTTTAATAAAATAAAATCATTATATTTCGACACTTGAAAAACAGTTAATGGTAATAGGTATGATAAGGTCAAAAAAATGTATATCAGCGTGGTCGAACTAAATCACGTGTGTGTACGATGTGTGCGAGTGTTGTGTACTAACTGTTGGCGCGGAGGGTTCTTGGGCGGCGGTGATGCAGCGCGTGCAGTCAGCGGCGGCCGCGCTGCCGGACAGCGCTCGTGCGCGGTGGGCGGCGGCTCGTTTGCTCGACCTGCAGGCCGAAGCGCGCCGCGACAATCGCTTACTGTCGCGCGCCATCGCCGCATACCTACATCTGCTCAAGATGAACGAGCAGCTATCCGATAAGAAACTACTCAAAATCACCAACCGTGCGCTGGATCGAATAAGATTCAGAGGTTAGCATTTCATACTTTGATTTAGTATTTAAGTATACTAAATGTTTTAATAATAATATTGAAAAATTTTATACAAAGTAACATAAATACTTCTAATTGACACTGTTTAAAGCTCATTGAACTGGAGGACGAAACCGTGAAATCTCTTGATTATTCTGTATACTTTCAGGAACATATCTAAGTGCAGAGCCTGTTTACAGATTATTAATTCGCCGATTTCCAAACGAACGAGAGTACCGAAATAATTTGACAATTTCCTTCCTAATGGCTAACAGGTACGACTTTTATTTTTTTATAAAATGAAACGGTACAAACTGGTATGTGATAGTAACTTAATAATTTACTAATAAATAAAAATAACAACTTCAGGGCGGACTTGGCTGAGGAGGAATTAAAAGAGACGCTAAAACGTTGGCCCGATGACCGGGTCGCTTTAGCTCATTATGCATTTATTTTGAAAACTCAACATAATCGACTAGAAGAAGCTCTAATCGCATTCCAAAAGGCCCTCGAAGGGGACTCAGGTCCAGCCAACGAACCTCGCTTCTATTATCACTATGGCGACACTTTACTGTTACTCGGTCGACATGCAGAGGCACACGAAGTTCATAAAAGAGGGGCAGCTCTAGGACATTTCTTGTCACCTGCACAGCGCTCTTTATATAACGTGCCTCGATTAAAAAGCAAGCCGTGGTGGAACATCAACGAAACTCCTTACGCAAATCTCGCACGAGCATTAGAAAAGTCGTGGAAGGATATATTGAAAGAAGGAGAAGCTGCTAAGGCTATTTATGAAAAAGAAAAAGAGGGGTTGAAGGAGCGCGGCGAATGGTCGCAGTTAGATTTGTTCGTGCGGGGTCAAGAAATCCCAAATAGATGTAAGAGAGCGCCAGTTACGTGCTCGATAGTGCGAGCGGAGGTGGCCGCAGCTGGCTGCCGCCGCGGACAAATTAAATTCAGCGCCATCGAGCCGGGCACGCACGTGCGTCCACATGTCGGCCCAACTAACTGCCGTTTGAGAATGCACTTAGGCCTAAGCAATACCAAAGATACGTTTATAAGAGTTGACCAAAAAACTAGGTATGTTAATACACATATTTTTAATCTAGCCCACACATAAACATAATAATTTGTGTGTTGCACATGAATTCAAAAGATTAAATTAGCACTGTATTTCACATTAATTCTTTTGCTAATATTAAAATGAATGTAAGTTTGTTTGTTACCTCTCACTGATTGCCACGAAATTTCGCATATAAATAATATTTGAGATTTATTGACAAAATTTTAAGGTTTACTCATGTTTATTTATGGAACATATATTATATTGACTATTAAGTGTAAATAAATAACAATTTAATATATGTTTGTAATATTCTAGGCAGTGGCAAGTCGGTAAAGTGTTCATGTTCGACGACAGCTTCGAACACGAAGTATGGCATAACGGCACCGGTACGAGGCTGGTACTCATCGTAGACGTGTGGCATCCCGATCTGACAACAAGCGAAAGGAGAAATTTACCCGCCATATAAACTTAACTACAGCAAACATTCTAGTCGGCACCGCGTATTTCAACAGTATTGTTTCGAAGTTTATCACCTAGTGTGTACTAGGATATAATAGACACTAGTGATATCAGCCATTATATCCAGTTGATGAACAAGTATTTCCCCTCGAATCTATTGAACTCTCTCCAACGTAATTATCCTTGAGGTTATCCGTGTACCTTGGTGTCGCCCAAACAGACACAATATTTATATACACAGGGCCACTCGAGAACCTGCCATTACTTTGATCTGTGAAGATCACTTTGGTCCTTTTGCGAATACCATGTGTATTTAATATCAATGATTTAATAAGGTAAATGTGTGAAAAATGTTTGAGTGTTATTAGTATACCCATGATACTAACAAATTATATCACCCTTCATCGTTATATTTTAGTCATTAGTTATTGATAAGGATATTTACTACATTATGGGGCTCCACATTTAGTGTATAGATACTTTAATAGTTACATTCGTCTTTATTTAATTGTTAAATAGATTTTTTGCTAAAATATATCAGTTCATTTAGTTACAATATAAAGTCTTTGTACTTAGTTCAAATGTAATGTTTATGACCCTTAGAAATATTTGTAAATAGCAGTATGCGGCCCGGGTAATCAGTAATAATAATAAATAATATTTTACTAGTAAATTGTATTTACTAATGTAAATTGAGAAATGTATAAGTGAGAGAGAATACACCAATAAAATGTGTTTCGCACAGAAAAACATCAAGTGCATTTTGTTTAATAATTAGGGTCGTTTCGCCTGTTCGCGTCCATTTAGTGCAGTTGGCAAGTTTGACGGCGATAATAAAAATTCTCCAGCACTAATTTCTATGACAAATTTGTGTAATGTATTCATTATATAGTTTATTTTAAGATTAACTTTCAGTTTTACTAGAAACATCTTATATTTTCATTATAAATAGATAAACTTCAGAATTAGACGTTTTACCCACAAAATCCAAATTGCGTTCAACCTTGAACCATTTAGCGTCCAGCAGCTTAGAAAAGGAATATAGGCGTGATATTTTTAAGAATTTATAAAGAAAGATTGTATTTTAACAATTTCTTTATTTAAGAATATAAATATAAAAAAATCAACATAATTATCATTAATAAAATCTCTTCAAAAAAATTAAAATAATTCTTCTCAACATTGGTAAAACCTAAAATTAGGTTAGTAGTAGGCAAATAATGATTGCAACTTTAAGAATAAACAGTAATCAGTTCTGTTAATTTTACCCTGAAATCTCAAGGCTAAAGATCAGCTTTGATTATAACTTTACTCCATAGGATCTGAGCCCACTTATTTTGTCCAATATTGTGGTCTTGGGAATAGTATATTCTTTACATATTTGTCTTATCGATTTATTCTTCTCTCAAATTTCATTTAACGCTTTCTTTAATTCTTCTGTGTATGTTCTCTTTTCCTTCTTCTGTCTTGACTCAGAAGAACTCATCTTAAATGAAAAAAAATAAGAGATGTAAAATGAAAGAAATTACTCATTTCAATTAAAAAATAAACAAAGAAAGAAGGAAAATTGTTTATTTGGTACATAGCAATAATAAAAATAATTTATAATAATATTTATATTTTATTTAAAAAAATAATTTATAATTATAAACAAATAGTCTTAATAAAAAATGTACAATAATAATAAACAATACATTTTTAATTATTTTTACACACTTGCATGTAAAAATAATTAACTTCCACTTTGCGTCCACTATTTTCGTTAAATTAATAATATAATAATTTAATAAAATAATTTTTAATAAAATAATTTATAATTATAAACACATATATAAATAATTAAAAATGTAGGTATTGTTTATTATTATTGTACATTTTTTTATTAAAACTATGTGTTTATAATTATATATTTTTTTAATTATTATATAAATAATATATAATAATAATAAATTATTAATTTAACGAAAATAGTGGACGCAAAGTGGAAGTTTTGTAAAATTCGATGTAGTAATTCGCGTCCACCTTAATTTATTTGTTAAATATAAAAAACATGAGCAAATTCATAATTAATATTATTCCTTTTTTCATCATAAAAGTGTAGAAAAAGCTTTGTACCCCAAAATTCACATAAAACAATAAAAAACTTACCATCAAACGGGAAGCTACACACAAAATTTTATGTAAAAACAAACGCGTACGGACTTACTTGTTGAACAGTCGAGATTAACTATTTTTTCTAAACGGGATTAGTTTGATGCACAGAACTTTTGTCTATCTATGCGTGCCTTTTATACATTGAGGTATTAGCGGTAATGACATTTCGTTCAATTGGTGTGTCAGTCGACTTATTTTCCATGATTCTTAACGGGAGATCCGCAAAATGGACGCAAATTGGGCGATGGACGCGAACAGGCGAAATTACCCTATATTCTATATAAGGAAAAACTTCGTGATAATTTTTTTCAATTGTTGCTCTTGTAGGAGACAGATTGTATTTTTAGACTATATACTATTCGAATACAATTTCAGTGCTCGATATACCCGACTTTTAATTTTATTGATTATTCATATATTATAGTGTACCAATATTTTAAAAGAACACGTTGAAAAAATCACATTGATGCATACACCAGTCGCAAAGTAAAAATATGTTGAAAGTATCTAATTTTGTTTTCCATTTTAAGAGTTTTTTTTAACTCCTCAAATGCTCTTGGCAGCAACTGGCCTTTACAGCTACACCAAACGATAGGAGGCGAGTGCAATAGCACTACAATCCCGGGAAAGGGCTGGTGCGGAGCGGTGTTGAAGGCCATCTCCTACCTGACGGAGACTTAACTTGTACCGCTATACAGATAGGGCAAATTTGTAATTACACAGGTTAGTCAGTATTCTTTTATATACAGGACATGAGAACCCAACAGTGGTGGAATCCAACATAGGGGAGCGTGGGTTACAGTGGATAGATCACTGTAGCTTTGCATGTAGTGCACACAAACACTTGCGTTTCCGCGACGTTGTCGTTCTTACATTTATACCGCTTCCTAACTAGTTGCTATCTTCATTTCAGGAATAGGGTTTGCGTCGCAGCACACTACTTGACAAGATAAAAATAATTTTGACATATTTTTGTAAAACATGTTGCCTCGGTGTGTGCAAAGATTTTGCAAGAAATAATTTTTGGTTATGGTCTATGATTAATGTTAGATTTTATTAGTCTTATTTGTTTAATTAGTAAATAAAATAAATATTGCAATTTTTTAAATCGGATAACTATCAGTGGGGTAACGCGTATCGTTTTCGAGTCGGGATACAGTAGCAGATTAAAGGGTTTTTTTTGTAGGTAAAGTGACACGGAATAGGAAACGGAAGAACAAATTATATAAAGTATCTTCTGGGTAAAAAATAAACATGTACCTAGCTAAATTTAAGAATATTCCGTACATGATACACTGATACAGATATTACACCAAATTACTAATAGTGAAAATTTTTCACTGATATCCAAGAGAAGCACTTATAACTTACAATGTTATAATAAACATCTTTTTAAATAACCATTATCCATTGTGCCCCATAAATGGGTCACAGTGGATACTTTGCCATTTAATACAAAAACTTGGAATCTCTCTACTAAATATTTCTCAAGAAATCTCATTACTAAGTATTTGAAAGGCTATTTTTGCAATGTAGTTTCAAATTTAAATATATCTTCTAGGTTTTCATTGAATCACTGATAAATCTGGGGTAAAAAAGGTGAATTTATGGCACTTGTAAAAGTGACCACTGTATCACACGTTCCCCTACAGTCATTCATACATAGCTCGCGTAACTTTATTATGCACATTTTGACCCCATAGTCTCTATAGAAAACCTCGGCAGCTAATTGATTTCCACAAAATCAGTGTGTAGTGTGTACATTGGAAAAAATGATCACGGTTAGTGCGATTTAAATACGCTGTCGATGCTTATTGCTGAGATGGTAAAAAGTAGTTATAGTGTGATATATTATAGTTATCTATAGTTGCAAAATAATCACATTCATAAATCAACAATTAAAAGCCAACAAAATAAATTGTAGTCGGTGTATATTTGGTATAATTTTTATGCCAAAATTTTGGCCCAAATAATTATAACCTTATTAATAGTACATAATCTTAATCTAATAAAGCTCATTGTATAATTACTACAATAGTGGAATGTTGCAACAACATACATTCTACTCCTATACATTCGTAAAGTAATGGCAGAAGTGTTTGAGGTTTAATATAGAAATATAAAATACCAGACTTACATAGGACGGATTTTCTTTACATTTATCAGTTACACAATTTAATGTGTACTATATAATCGCAAACAAAGCTTTCAACTGACAGTAACAAGTGCCGAAATAAGTATAAAAAAGACGCAAATGTTCACATATCAATTATTAAATAACAATAAAACGATATTGTAAGTAAATTTTTCATTATTAGCTACGGTACAAAAATAATTGTTATACTTAAAAGAATTTAAAGCTAATTTATAAAAGAGGAATGTATTACATACATCATCAATAACAAGACTTAATGAGATTCTTTAGTACAAATACCCAAAAACACGAAAAGGACGTAATAACAAATTTATAATCTAAATAAGTGATTATTGATATTTGTTGTTAATTTGAAATATAAATGAATAACCATTATATTGTAATGATAATATAAATATAACGCGTTGTTTAACTTGAGCGAAATACAATGTCTATTCATTTAAAATATTAGCGTTCTGTCACAACCTTTGTTACTTCAATAATATTGATGCAACACAATGACAGATATTGTCGAAAGATTTATCAATTTATCTAAACTGCTGTGTAAGTAAGTAAATGTCACTTAACATAAGGCACATAATTGTAGGGTTAAGGAACCAGATAAGCATCATTTACAGATTGGTACGCCGGTGGGCCCGGTGCTTGGGGGGTAGCTCGCGAGCTGTAGGTCGGCGCTGGCGGTGCAGGCGGCGGCACATCCCAAGCAGCGTCCGCGCCTGAGTAGTTGTTCACTGCACCATATGCACTGCCGCCGTACGATGGAGATTCACATTGGGCGACTGTATCCATATCCATTCTATTGTCATAACTTGAAGCAGTGTCGTAGCCCCGACTTATGTTGTCATAGGGAGATAAATTACGATCATAATTTCTGGTAGTTCCACAGCCTCCATTAGGTTCATTATAAGGTCCAACGACGTCAAAACCGGCCTTATGGACACGTTTCATAGTACCATATCTATTAGTTTTTATTGGAACCGATTCAGAAGGCGGTTGAGGTGGATCATAGACATCCTGTGATCGTGAGACTATATCTCTTTCAGTAGCATGGTATGATGCAGGTCGAGCTCCATGAAAATTAGAATATGAAGAATGTGCAGAAGTAGGACGCGAAGGTCGAGCATCTCGTGGCAAAGAAGCACTGGAAGCTAAGTATCCAGCATTTCTATATGACCGTCGCGATCTGCGTACAGATGATCCTGCTCCTCTTGAACCAGATCTACGCTTCACACGTCGAGGGGTCATGGGTTTCAAAGAGCCTTCACTTGTAGTTGTTTCTGTAGGACTCAACTCCATTGTATATACAGTACGTCTTGGTAATGTTCCTTTCTCTGTAAAAGATTTATTTTTATTTTAAGCAAGTAAATGAAATAAAAAAATACTAATTGTTACGTAAGATTTTATTAGTGCAATCACTAACTCTTTTGAAACTGTCTATATTCCTTCTGGCATAGATGATATTTTCATAAATGTATTGAGAAGCAACGGTGAGGATATTTGATTCCTTAAAACACTCTCGCAATGACACCCTGGAACCCATACCATAATTACATTACAATGCAAGTTTGACTTACCTGATGGTGCCTTGCGTTTATTAACTGACTTAAATGCCAAGACTATAGCAAGTGGCAGGGCTATGATTGTAAGTAAAGCTGCCAAAATCGATTGGCCAAGCTCAACATAATACCACTGAAGAAAACAACCATCAACACGGGCAGGTCGCCAAATACCAGGTCTCTCTTCTCCACTCCACACAGGCTGACATCCCCATCCATTACTCTCCCACCAGCTTACACTGTCAGTCCCCAAAGAAAGTATGCCACTTTCCTGTAATATTGAATTTCAAGTTATGTCAAGACTATTTGTTAGCATAAAATATTTGTAGAAAAGTAGTATAGTGATAGTCTTAAATATATGTATATCAATATACTATAAGTATATATTTTATATTCTCAAATTGTAATCCAATTCTTAGAAATAAATTCTTATTACATCAATTATGAATATAATTAACTTACTCTGTTCAATGTTCCCAGATTTAGATAATAGCAAATTAGAAACATATTCCATGTTAGCCATGTAAAACTCCATATTGCAAACTGTCAAAAGTTTAAATCATATTAATCACACATACACATTATGTCAATATAGACCAAAATGTTTTTAAAATACAGGTCATTTCAGAAAGACCATGTCAAGTAAAAAAAGTTGTATATTGAATAATAATAAAAAAGTCATATAATAATTTATATATACCATGATCATATGTTGTATAATTTGAAATAAATTTTAACATTTAGGAATTGCATACAAAGGCATGGTTCTCTATTCTATTTTCATAATTAAATTATTGTAAACACCTTACATATATTATAATACCTATAAAGATTGAATGTAAATTTGTGTCAATATTTATTAAAGCCTATTTTTACTATTACACTCAATCAAAAGTAACTTTGTTAGAAATTTGAATTAACAATTTTGATGTATTATAAGTCCTACCTGTGGCAAAAAATCTGCACTAGATCTGTTAAAATAAAAATATGCTAAAAGTTGCTTTATGAAACTTAATAAGTTCTAAAACTATATTTCTTTTTAATATTTTTTTCAATTAATATAAAAAGCATTGAAAGAGTGTTTTTATAATGTTATTATTTTTTGTGTTTTATTGGATTTAATGCTTTATTTCTATCAAATTAGCAAAAGTAAACGATAATGTGGAAAGGAAACATTGTATTTTTTGTTACATGTTTTATACTCATTAATATTCATTTAAACAGTTTCACTGTATGATGGAATTTAAAATAAGGAAATTTGCAAATGAATTAAGGTGACTGATAGAAACAGCAAATTAAAATGCACTAGATCAACATATAGTTTGAAGGCCAAGCAATAAATAGAGAAAGATTCTGAAGAGGTAAACCTACACAGGCAATCAGTCTAGTCTTATGGTACCTTCCTCATAAAAATGTAAATATAATACAAGAAAAATAAAAACAGTATTATATTTCAATCTTAAATTCTATATTACTATGATTCAGTACAGCAATAACATATTACATTTTTGTTACCACAATAAACTTGATGTAAAATTAATTATATTATGAAAAGAGAACATTTATGAAGTTCTACAATATACATAAATAAATATCGGAAGAATAGAGTGTGATATTCAAAGGGAAGCATTGTCATATATTTAAGTATTGAATTTTCTTGAGTACTATTATTCTAACGTTCTGTACAAAATAATTATGTAATAACGATTATACTCACGGATATAATATAATTTGTAATATATTGAACTGCTCCAAAAGATCCAAAAATAATTAATAAAATATTAACAAAATTAGCAATTATGGGCAACCACATATACCCTAAAAAATCGAATACTTGACGTTGTACAGTAACAATCTGAAATAACGATATTTATTAGGTAAATAATATAATATTGTATATATCGAAATAATTATAAAATTATATTTAATCATCACCCATACCAATTCTATTACACAAACTATCAACAACAAAGTTCTCAATCCACAAACAGCCATGATCAGGATTTTTTCCGCCTATATGATTATTATTCATTCTAAACTGTTACTTATCATTAAATACTTAAAATTATTCATGTTATTACATTTAATTTAATTTATGAAAACGTAAATTAATTGAAAAACAAAAGTGACTAACAAAGTAAATGGAATGGAGTAGATTTTATGTTGGTGTAGACAGATTTCAATTTATAATTCTACCACACAACCACCAAATAGACAAAGAAGAGATACTCGAGACTAGCGCAGTGATTACTTTCTTAGTGACTGTAAGTTATTTTAAGGTCAAAACTTTGAGCAAGTGATCACTATGTTTCGTTTGTTGTAATAATTAATTGTATGTATTTAGGCCTAAATCTGATTGATAATAAATTACAAATATTTATACAACCTGACTTAATGTTCAATATGGACAAAACTTTAGGAAACAATGACAAAAAAGAAACTAAATGTGAAAAATGTAGTTAAATAAAGGTAACCGTATTTTTTTCGATATCTACCATAGTTTTCCATTCTATACCGTAATATTAGACTACTAGAAAGAAAATTCTGTAATTATACAGACGGAGACACTGTCAGCTGTTTCATTTCAACTTTATATCGATTTTTCTCTTCATCTAAGGAGAATACATTAATAAATTTATTAAATTTAGTTGAATCCATCTCGCTTAATAATTATTGATTTTTGAACAGTTTTTATTATCGGGTATAATATTTATATATGTGCAATAATTTCATCCTTAACTTAAATTACATTGAATGCCGGTAACCTTTTATAATTTCCAATTACAGATAAATGGCGTCCGACACCTTAGTACCGATTGAATCAAACCCTGAAGTTATGAATAAGTTTTTGCAGAAACTAGGAGTTCCTTCTAACTGGAGTATCGTGGATGTAATGGGCTTGGACCCTGAAATGCTTTCTTGGGTTCCTCGTCCAGTCATTTCCATTATGTTGCTATTTCCAGTGTCAGCTGCCTATGAAGATCATAAAAAAGAGGAAGAAAATGAAATATTGGCAAAGGGTCAAGAAGTATCCAGTGATATTTTTTACATGAAACAAAATGTTAGCAATGCATGTGGTACTGTGGCTCTGGTTCATAGTGTTGCAAACAATTGTGATAAAATTGATCTTTCTGATGGCCACATGAAAAAGTTCCTTGAAGAAGCTAAAACATTAGATGCTGCAGCTCGAGGAACTCTATTTGCAAAGACTCCAGGCATAATTGATGCTCACAAAGAGTTGGCTCAAGAAGGTCAGACTAATACTCCCAGTGCCGAGGACCCTGTGGATCACCATTTTATAACATTTGTACACAAAGATGGGGCATTATATGAATTAGATGGTAGAAAGGCTTTCCCTATTAATCATGGACCAACAACTCCGGATAATCTGTTAGAAGATGCTGCAAAAGTTTGTAAGGAATTCATGACTCGTGATCCTAATGAAGTTCGATTCACAGTAATGGCATTCGCAGCATCAGAATAATTTACTCTACATGCTAAAATACAAATTACAACAATGATAATACCATTCAGCTAAAATGAGCATATGCATTTTGCTATCTGCTTTTTGTGAGATTTATAAAATTTGCAATTCAAGCAAGCTTTTGTGATAATTAAAATAAATTATTTATTGATCGCTGTTTGGTATTCCTTTGGTCAATAGTACCTAGTAGTAACCAGTAGTAATCCTAATGCAAATTTCACTTAATTAATTGTTGGAACCAATATCTCCTAAGATATACCCTATGTATATATATATATTAGGATACATCATTTCTCCATCAAACAATACTTGCTCTATTTCATGAGGAGGACCTTAGGGCTCTTCCAGTACCTCTTATTTTCCAATTTCCTATGTAATATAAAAAATCGGTTGATAGGTTGAAATTTAGTTTGTTATGGATGGTGCTGGCATGGTGCACCCGCCTACAATACTGAAGCTGAAGGGGCAACAGTGAAACTCAGGCGCTCGTCGTGGCGAATTCATTAAAAATATTCGCCTTAAATATAAATTATTTCTTTAAATCAGTCAGAAATTCAGTAATAATTAATACAATAAAAAGTGATCGCTGCCTGATTTTTTAAAATATATCTTTTAAACATCGTAAACATAAATACATTTTAATAAAAAATCCATAACCAGGGCATAGGCAAGTTTCTGATTAATCATATATATGATATTAATGATATTATGTACCCTCACTTAAACCTCCTAAATACTTTACCGTGTAAGAATCTAGTTTTAAATTAATTTGAAATTATTGTGAATTATACAAAATTCGATTATTTATTTATTTAAATTATATTAAAAGAATTGTTTATGCATGTTTTAATATAAACATAAATAATACTACTGTCAATTACAAAATTTAGTAGTAAATAATAATTCAGTAGGTATTATGTTCCTTGGTACATAAAGTATTTTTTTGTAGTTCTTAATCTATGCAGGCAAAAAATACTTCACTTCCCTTGTAAGCTTGTTTTTCCAGGCAGTACTCAGAGAAAGTCGGAGTTAAAGAAAAACAGTTGGCTGGTCAATCTCTAGGCCTGTGTTATTTCCGCAAATATATGTTGCTAGTTTATTATATTTTTTTTAACAAATGATATGACGAAAGATCTACGATCTATGTAGTTCGAGTTGTTCCTCTTTGAAACTTCCGAACTATAATTTGTTCACGAACTACACAGAACTAAACTATTTTAATTTTTTTTTTTCATATTCGTCCATCTCCTTTTCAGTGATGGAACAGGCAAAGATCCTTAGACCGTAAACTATTTTAAATTGCTTGCTTTTTCAAATGTCATTTCTTAGAGATGTGCTAACTCGTAATAAAGGTGACTCGAGTTAACACGAGTTAAAATTCAGGTAATCGAGTTACTTGGAAGACACAGATTTTTTTTTATTTCGAACTATTCTTCATATAACTATTTAATGTTGTTGGTTGCAGGCCGCAGCTTCACCGAACCATAGAGGGCGCGTGGAAATGAGACTCCAAGCCCGCAGATATCCTTACGGGGTGCATTCATGGCCGCAGATTAAATTTGAGTGTTTTTTTAATACTATTAGATAACGAGCTGATATTTCCTATATATTCAAAAATATCCGAGCATTTTTTAAATTATACACATCTGATTCGTAAATAGTATGATATGATCGGAAAACTTCATGTCATTGTCGATTTAATTCGGTCAATGCAATGGCGGGAGTACATAACATACTAAGGTATGAACCCAACGACCGAATCATACTCTTTCACTTGATTCGTTTATTTACCAATAGAATTCTCCATACTCGAGTTGGGAGAATTCAACTCGAGTTGAGAGAATTCAACTCGAGTTAACTCGACTTGACACATCTCTATCATTTCTATGTACAAAATAAAATAATATATAGCAATCGAATGTAGTTGGAAAAAAGTGCCTAAGTATATATTTATATTGAACCTTAGAAAATTACTAAGCATCTTATTATTACCAGTTAGTATCTTTTGAATAATTTCATAATAATTAGTTAGTATTTGTGTTTATGCTTTCGACAAAATCTATTAAAACTGTTACATGAATCATCACTTAATATTAATTGCTATATTACCGGTAACCAATACTTTTCTAATTACAGAGAAATATGGCCACTGATGCCTTAGTGCCATTAGAATCCAACCCTGAAGTTATGAATAAATTTCTTCAGAAATTGGGAGTTCCCCCCGATTGGAGCATTGTTGATGTCATGTCCTTAGACCCTGAAATGCTTTCCTGGATTCCACAGCCAGTTATTTCTGTTATACTATTATTTCCAATTTCTGCATCTTATGAAGAACATAAAAAGAAAGAAGAAGTTGAAGTATTATCTAAGGGCCAAAAAATATCAAGCAATATTTTTTATATGAAACAATATCTAAGTAATGCTTGTGGAACTGTAGCTCTTGTACATAGTGTAGCGAACAATTGTGATAAAATTCAACTTTCAGAGGGCCCTTTGAAAAAGTTCTTGGAAGAAGCTAGACCACTAGATGCTTCTACTCGAGGGACTCTCTTTACAAAAACTGAAGGCATAATTAATGCACATAAGGAATTGGCTCAAGAAGGCCAAACTAATACACCTAGCCCTGAAGATCTTATTAATCATCATTTTATAGTATTTGTACACAAAGATGGTGCACTGTATGAATTAGATGGTAACAAAGCATTTCCTATAAATCATGGACCAACTACACCAGAAAGTCTATTGGAAGATGCTGCAAAAGTTTGTAAAGAATTTATGGGTCGTGATCCAAATGAAGTTCGCTTTACAGTGATGGCATTAGCAGCATTGGATTAAAAAAACTATATGTAAAGTTCAATCAATGATATATCTCAGCATTATTTTTAGTCAATTGTGAACAAGTTATAAATATTGTGAATAAAAATTATTTGCTAACAACCACTGATGACTATTAGCAGAAATTAGTTATTTGACATATACAGCATGATAGGCATTCCAACATAAAAAATTTTTAATGCCCCTATACATATGAACTTTACAATTTCCAAAACCCAGTGAATATCAACCTAAATACAAAATAAAACCTTATAAATACTAATAGTCCAAGAAATTTTTTATTTAAACCATGATGTGACCAGTTTTGGTGTAATATATAAAAATAAGTCTGCACATTAAAATATTCAGAAAGAAATTTTAATTTAAGTTGGCCCTAGTCATATGTAGTACATAATAAATATTTAGCTGTCCTCTACAGAAGAATGATAATGAGTTGTTATGTTAAAAGAAATAATATTGAAGAATTATTTTAATAACCATTTCATTAGTACATTTATACCATAATTCCTATTATTTACTAATAGATCTTGATATATATTATTTCTTCGCCTTTTTATTTTGGTAGTTCAAAACAAGATTCCACCAATGCCATGAGTGTTGGAGTTCGCCGATTTACTTTTCAGTGCAAACGCCGCTTTTCTTTTTTCTTAGAATCAAGAACCATGCCTTAGCCTTAAATAATATAGTACCTGTCCAATGGGTTATGTTAAAAGAAGTAATATTCAAAAGTTATTTTAGTAACTACTTTATTAACACATTTATACTATAATACATAATATTTACTAAAAGATCTTGATAATATCTTATTTCGTCTTTTTATTTAGAGAAATATGTCAGGAACTTATTTTCCCATTGAGCGTGTTTCACTTTCAGAGGCAATGTACTGAACTTGCATATAATTGGCTAAAATACATTATGTGGATAACTTTGTATTATAAAATATCTGGAGGCGCAACTCTAGTTGGATCTTCGGTATTTGGCGAGAGTTCACCTGAAACATTTTAAATAAATTAATTACATAATAAATATATTTTATATACATAGACTGCCAGTTTTATAGCAAACCGGCAGGGTTCTTTAGCTATTATAGTAGAATATATATATTAAATAATTTTTGTCTAGTTAGGAAAAGGTTTATACCGTTAGATACATAGCGTAAGATAGCGGATATATGTACATTATTGTACATATTCATTGTCCGCCGTATATAAATTTGCAATTCTGCACATTAGTGACCGCAACTAGATACCTGTCGCACAAATATTTACTGGAAACTCAATTCACTATATTGTGGGACTCAATAAATGCGCCTGTAACATAATAGACGATGTATTGGGAAAAGGTAATAATGAAATACACGAAATCTATGCATCGCCCCAAAATATGGCAAATATTATTCTTTTTATTTGAAAAGTGATCTTTAAGAATCAGAATAACGTATTTGATCTTCAGGTGATTTAATTAATTAGATGTGATCATGTGACTAGAATTAAAATATATTGTATAGGACTATTAATTTAATTACCTGCCTGAGGTATATTTTACATATTATATAAAATTACTATGATTTATCAAAGTTATACATTTAAATATAAGAATAACTTACCATTCGGAATTACTACGACGCGTGCAAATTTTGGTAACAATAAAGTGAGTATGAGCCCCAGGATAACGCTGCCCCCGCACACCCACGATAATACGTCTCGATAATAGGATGAGTCGGCACCATCAGCGCTGTAATCATAAGTTATAAAATAATGTTATTATACATATTGTGTGAAGTTCTTCGAAACAATTTTTTTATATATAAAACTTAATGTTGATTATAAGGCCAGAGAAAGGCCGAAAAAGAGATGGATGGACTGTGTGAAAGATGATATGGCAAGGAAGGGAATAAATAACGAAATGACTGCGAACAGGTATGAATGGATGAGAAAAATATATTACGCCGACTATGGGAACTTACGATCCCCTTGATTGCCTACAATTGAGATATAAAGATCCCAATATCATATAATTTCACAGCGATACATGGTAAGCGGTGTACAACCGTGAAATTATTTAATCATGATCTGCTTATCCCATTTATTAGTTGATATTAAATTATTTCATATTGGCCCACTTTAGTGGACTATAAAATGTATATGATTACCATAACTATAGAAGTAAATAGATAACATGTTTCTTTGTATACTTACTACATTTGTATTGCTGCTATCGCAATGCCACAAGCAAGCTTATCTGTAAAACTCATGAGTCCGTAGACAAAGGCGGATGCTTCAGTACTAGCTCCTACTAAATCAGCAGTCAGTGCCAGGCTTGTTACTAGCATAACTGCACCTCCAAATCCTATAATTACAAACATATGTAATAGTCATACTAGGTAATAAAATAATTATTTATAATCGTTGATAATTTATTATTGTCATTAACGTTTAGTTGCTGTTGTTGTAATATCAATTTAATATTATAGTTTTATGAACTACTGTGTTACTCTTTTTGTGATATTATAGTTAGCTTATGTCGATCTTCAATTAAGGTCCGTATAGTGGTGTATTCATTAACAGGTAACAAAGAGACGAAAACATTTTCGCGTTGTAATTATAATATTAGTACAGAAGTATAGACTAGCTGTTACTCGCACATTCAAGGAAATCGGCTCAAATATCTAGTAGGGAAAACCAAGCGTTATTTCATATTAGTAGGTACAAATAGTAGAGAAATAATATATACCAACCTATCAACACAGCTACTAAATAAATGTAATAAATTTTATAATTATCGTCTGATTCAATATAAATCCACACAAAACCAGAAAGAGCGCATGCAGATCCCAATAAATAATTTAATTTTCGCGTGAAAGACCTTGGGATCAGCCTCTGTACACCCGCTGCAGCCAGACTCCCAAGGTACATAGCAAGAGGTATAACGGCAAGAGAGCGAGCGGCCAAGCCTAGTGTCCGATGAAGGTACAAAGGAATTAATACCTGTGACACATTTACTACTAATCTTGTGCTCATGTAAACACCAGCGACCTAAAATAAATACAATGTTGTTATTAGTAACTTAATATATATACTGCACTGCCAGTAAAAGCGAAACAAGGGCCTAAAAGAAAATGTCGGTGGTAAAAGGGTCTGCGGAAATGGTGTGTCTGATGATTAAGTTTGACGAAACATATATTGTCATATGTAAGTGCATACGAAAAACTATTTCGTTAATATTAGTCGCCTATAATGTGAAAGTTGAATGAGATTGAAAGAAGCCCAGACTATTTATATAAATAATGGAAAATATTGATAAGTAGAATGTAGCGCAGTATATTTATTTGAGTAGGTCTTTGAAGCTTCACTCTTTATAAGGTATTTTTCCATAAACATTGTAACTATAGTAGTTAATTTTTTAATATATACCAAGTCGACAATTGTGTGATAATTACACACACATTATTTATTTATTTATGTACTAGGATATGTCTGGAAAATTATTGATGATTCGGTAGTCCTAATATAAGAACTAATTGACACGGTTGAGATGATTTAGAAAAGTCTCACACTAGGTTCAGGCCGGGCGAACCGCGGCCGACGTCAACTTTCGACTAGTGCATTTATTACAAAGAATAGCCGGAAATGTTTGGTGATCCTTAAACAGCTAGTAAATGTATATTCACCTGGTATAATACTGGTTTCTTGAGGAAATCACAGTGCGTCTGAATTGGTGTGTTATTATCATAATCTATCAGTTGATCTCGATGACTGTTTGTTCGTCTCTCAGTCACCAAAAAGTGAAAGAGTATTGATGCAATTATGCCCACACTTAATACTATATATACGATGTGTCTGAATTTCCAAGCATCTGCTGGTCCCACTTGCTGAAACCCAATAACAATTAACAGTAAATAAATTAGTTCAGATAAGAACTTAGTTGTAGTTTAATAAATACATTCCAAATCTTAGTGATCATATTAGTGGATTCTGATACTGTAATGACACTGGCATTATAATTATTGGTATATTTTGGGTTTAATATCATCCAAGATAATGACTACTTTGTTATTGTGAGATAATTACACAAAATACCTACATTATATACAGGTTACTACCAAATTATCAACATTCTCTTCTACAGGATATCCTATATGATGTGTAGTTTATGATAATTATCATTATCATAATCTATATTAGTTAGGAGTCCCTAATGTCATTATCATTAAAAAACAGCTGTGTCATTTTGGTTACAATATGCTGTAGTAGCTTCTATAAGAGGTCAATGAACTGTCTTATTACCCAAATATACTTTTATTTACTTGTATAAATTTGGCATGAAATAATTAAAATTTTTAATTTTAATAACTTGATGCTATCAATACAGGAAATTTATGGCTACATAGCATAATCTATTTTATAATTTAAATATAAATATGAAATACAATTATATGAAAATACAATTTATATTATCACTTACTTCCTTATCACATTCACCAGTAACACGTAAAACAATCCATGTAATAACATAAACAAATAGATTTGAGAATACAGTAAACCCATATCTGGAAATCAAATATTTCGAAATGTAGTACAATCTCTATAATACCTAAACATAAATAAATGTTCACATTACCATTAGGTATTTACATATTCCTATTATTGAATATAAAATATTATACAGAGAGTAAGTAGGTTACCAATTAAGGACATATAATTATATTGAAAAGCAATCAGTTATACTTATAGTTTCATAAAATATTGTATACCAGTTCCAACATTTGATTAGTGGCCAGTACCTACCCATCCAACTTCCCACTGACTCACAATATGAACATTGGACAGTACAAGTATTGTGTTAGGTATTAACAATAATTTTTATAAATATATTCTGCTAAGGAGGGCCCATTGAAAAGGAACATAACATACTTTATACACATTTTTTTCAAAATCTGAGTCAGATTGGCTACACCAATCTGGTGACAAATTTGATTGTGTAATGATACTTTCAAGGGACACATTAAAAAATTATAATACCTATAGTTAACTGACACCTATAAGACAATTACAAGCTAAATCATCAAATAAATGCTGATAACAAATTATTAATTGTTATTAAATACAAGAACAATTATAAAAACTTATTACCTGACAGCAGTGAGATGTGATCTTGTATGGTCATCGTCAGCTAGCTCAGGTATTAAACTTAAGTGTGAAATCTGCACAGCTGCCCAGCCAATTTGGAATATTATAATAAATGATGAAAAATAAAACATTTGCGCCCATTTATGGGTCATTGAACATCCAACACATTGTGAAAATATGAATGGAAAAGATGCTAATATACATGCTGTACCTGTAATAAATATTAAAAAGTTAATATCATCTCATCAAGTAATTCTCTCTGTGAAGTAACAAATGTGCAACATTTTTTTTAAAGCATTAGAAATAGTTTACTTACCAAAAAGGTGCCACAACTTTCTTTTACCATACTTAGTACTAACTAAGTTATCAGTATGATCTGAATGGTAGCCAACAAAAGGTGTAGCTAAAGCATCAACAACTTGTCCTATCAACATTAAGTTCCCTGCTTGGGAAGCACTAAATTCTAGCACTAAATGAAAGAATACTATTAAATAAGTAAACCATAGGCTAGCACATACATCATTTAGTACATGGCCAATACCATATCCTATCTGGAGTTTAAAGCTCGTTGATATATCTATTAATTCATTATCCATCTTCTGGTGGTTATAAATTTAGGAGTACCAACTACAAATAAAGATCATTTTACAATGAAGTCAAAACAGACACAGATTACTGCAACAAGATTTTTTATTGTATTTATTACATTTCAATTACTGTCTGATATCTTTCTAATCGAAATGAACACAAAACTGAATTTATATCAATGACTTCTTTTGCACGTAACACATTTATTTCTCAATTTCTATTTACACTAATAATAATGAATACTACTAAACGAGAAATGTATGACTCACTATATACATAGATATCTTTAAATAAAAGTTGTTTGAAATAGACGAAGGAAAACAGTGAAACAATATTTGATGATAGAAAACAACGTATGTACAACAAAACGATTTCAAACGAAAACATTTACAACAGTACTCTGTTTCGTTAGGATATTGGTGTTCTGTGACTCTGTGTGTACACTACAAGTACAAAATAGGGAAACAAACGACTCAGCAACTAATTGCTAAATGTCAAAGTCAGTGTCAGACGTGTCACTCTGTTCACAGTCCGTCAGTCTGTCAGTTGTCTGTTGTGATTACTGGTACAGGCTCCTACTCATAGCGGTTTACTGATTAAAATTGAAAATTGACATTGTAGTTCACGTTCATATTTTCTTATCAAATTAATTTACTAATTCAAAAGTTTCATTTTTATCTAATTTTTTTCATCATCCATATAGGATGCCAGATGCCATAAATTGGTAGATAGTGTTATATCTTATTTCTTCTACATGAACCCTTAAGAAGCGAGGAATATTCGGAACAGCTTATCCAGAGTGTATTTCTTTACGTTATAAGAATATATTACACCATACAAATGAAGACAATACACCAAATTATTTGGATATCTGTTTTATCCGTTTATTCTACTGTTCACGGAGATGATTTTAAAGAAGAAATGTTTATAAAACCTCTACCACCATCACATCTATATACTTATTTCCAATTTATAACTATTGTAAATCACAAATCATGTAAGTAACTGTTATAGCCAGTTAAACACTGTTTATTGTTATCGGAATACAAAATTCATAACAAATATTTATATTTTTTCAGCTGAACACTCTCACTTATCACCTAGGTCTCTAGGAGAAGTTATATCACGATTTCAGGTAGATGAATTGCATTTAACATTGACTGAGGGACAGTGGAGACATAATCAATGGGGATATCCAGTTATGGATGCTGCACCAGGAGCAGAACTTTATGCTTGGTTCTCTAAAGATGTCACAGATATTGACAACCAATGGAAGAAATTAAGCTCTACTTTGTCTGGCTTATTCTGTGCCTCTCTCAATTTCATTGATAGTTTCAACACGGTACTCCCTCAAATGGCACTGTGGCCTACAGGAGCTGTGAATCCAACTCTTAATATGACTTCACAACTTCGATATGCATCATTACCCAGAGAAATTGTATGCACTGAAAATTTAACACCATGGAAAAAGTTGTTACCTTGTGAATCAAGCCAGGGATTTTCATCACTATTGAACTCTAGAATGATACACAACACAAAATACCATTCAATAGGAGTTCATATTAGAAAAATTTGTGCCACTAAAGACTGTATTGATACTCATTTAGAAATAAAACAAACTGTTGCACTTGTTTATGATTATAAAATTATAAACAGTATGGACTGGTCATTTAGGAAATTATTTGGTCAAGGGTTGCCTGGAGGCTGTAGCCTCTCATCAGCTAGCACTATATATGTTGATGTGACAACTAATGTAACTAACTCATTTAAATTGACTCCACCACCTGATAGAACATTACAATCACAAAGAGGAGGAAGTGAAACCAAGTTTGCTGTGTATGACATTGTTGCCAATGGTGAAATGATAAATATAGGTGTTAAGTATGATGCTAAAAACAATAAGAATATGAGTGTTACTATACCACCTCCTATATATTTTAATAGATATGTTTTAGGTTATGGCAAGGAAGTAGGTGGTATTGTTACTGAATTAGTCAATAATTACTGGACACCTATAGATGTTGTTCTATTAGAAAATGCCCCTTGGTGGTTGCCAATACAGCTCAGCTCATTGAGAGTTAATGGAGAAGCTGATAGTGATCTAGTGATTGCACAATATTATTCCCCTGGGAGAAGTAGACAGAAACCATACCATTTGGAACTACTTATTAAACTGCCTCCACGAGCAACTACCACTATAACAATTGATTTTGAGTTTGTATTTTTAAAATGGCAAGAATATCCACCAGATGCAAACCATGGATTTTACATTGGATCAGCATTGATAACTGCAAATCTGCCAACAGCAAAGCAATATTCCAGTCTACCTATTACTGGCAGCACTTTTGATTCCATAATAAATGCATCAAAACCCTGTAAGTTAAATACCTTTACTAAAACATTATCTAACTCATATGATAATTTATTAAAAATTTAATTGTATGAATTAGAAAATTCTGATTAACTAATAAAGTTGAAATCTTTTCAAGCATCCTTTAATAATAATAATTGTTTTTGTAAAAGATTTTTAGTACATACATACATGTATACATTTTATTTAGTATATATAGTCAAAAAATGAAAAACACTGTTTAATCTTTTTTCAGGGTACACAGCTGTTTTAAGGACCAATGGTGCCATGGTCTCCTTGCCTACTCCAGATTTTAGTATGCCATATAATGTAATTTGCCTTGCTTGCACTGTTGTAGCATTAGCATTTGGGCCGCTTCATAATATATGTACCAAAGAATTAATATTAAAGCCAGTGGGGACACCAGTGTCTCTAACCCAGAAATTACTAAATTTGTTTAAGAGAAAAAAAGAATAAATAATTATGTTGGTTCTATTTATTCATATACTAGATTACAATAAATAAAAAAATATTTTTTTTTACTAAAAAGAATTGTTTAGATTTGTTACCTACCTTTTTTGAGTTTAACCAATAGCAAGACTCATATACAAAAATTAAATGACTTAAAGTATATCTCATTTATATTACAAGTTAGGGTTTTATGTGAATACGAAACAGCCATTAAAAGAGTATATTACGCATATAACAGCAGTCAGGATACAATTACGAAATCTATAATATCCACACATATGGTGCAGAACAATCCTTAGTCTATAATTAAGACTCATTCACGATTCAGATAGTTCAGGCACTTATCATTCCGTTTCGGAATGTTTTAGATAGAAAAGGAGAAGGATAGGATGTTTGATAAGGATTGTACCTCAAGACTAACAATTATATCCATTTTATAAGTTTATGGTAGTATTATACTTCAAAAATACAAGTCAAATAATAAATACTACTGTTCACTATTACTGGGGTAGAAGATTGGTAGTAATGGCACACGGTGACCTTATTGCTAGCAATGTGACCATGTCAAGTGGGTTTCCACGGAACTCATCGCAGTTAGTTCCTGATTGCTTCGTTTCGATGGGCTAACCTGACTTCATATTAATCCAATCATACTTTACTGGTGCCTCATCAGCATATACCTAACTATACATATAATATGAAATATTTAGGATATAAAAGTACGAACATAAACTCTTTATTTCAGCTATAAATATAACAGTCGAGGTCGCTTCATGAAGATTGTGTTAAATACTTTCAGTACGGAACCCTAAGGCGTGAAAAGTATAAGTAGAACTATACGTACCGTACCTACTTTACGTAGGGACGTAATTAGTTGGTTTGGTAACATACCTAGATTGTTTTGGAGTTTTAACTACAATGACTGTTCAAGTTTAGTTTTGACATACACCTCTGTTGTCACTTTGACGCAAATTATTTTGTGTGCTTTGATTTGTATGTAATAGTTTTTCTTTTATTGTATATTCTGATTTATTGAAGGAAGAGTGGTCCTACCATATGGTTATATGGAGTCAAAAGCCAGGTAAGAGAATAAAATCAATATTGATTTTACTCTTGATACTCGTGACTGTAAATCCACATAATTAAGTGATTATAAATAGTATAGGTAGGTATGTTAATTTAGTCTCACATACATTTGTAAAATTAATAGTACTTACCTACCTAATCGTTTTTAGGGACAAGAGTGGGCAATGTCTTTGTTGTATGAAAAGCAAAATCTCTACAGATTTTAAAAAAATACTGGATATTAAAGATGCCGGTCTGGTTATATATCTTTACGTACCACGTATAAATGTAAGTCCGTTATTGGAAATCATCGGTTTAGGTATAACATATACACTTCTATTCTATTTGTAAGTGTCGTATGAGGTAATTGAAAAGAAGAGAAATAATTTGTTCTAACAATTGTTTATTTTTATAGCATTAATTACATAATAGGCTAGGATAACTCATACAGCGCTATCTAGTCTAGAGCTTGTTTTATAGATAGGTACTAGGCAACTGTATCTATCTAAGTAATATCTTTAAGTAATTTTTTTGTAAATACATACAATACAAAATATAATAGAAAACACTCAGATTGATACAAACAATCATACTTATAAATGCAAACGTGCGAAGAATCGAATCCGCGAAAAAGTTGTTGAAAATAAAGGCGATGTCCTAAACCGTTAGACCACCGATTGTTAGTAGGAAATATATAACTACCAAAATCTCATTGCATGAAATTTAAATGTACCAGATGTCAGATTGTCCTTGACGCAGTTCCCACTAGAAACGATAAATTTTGATAGCATAGAAAGTGCTGTCGTTTGACTGCAATATATTTTCCTAGTTTTACTGCTTTATTGTAATAATTAGTAATATTTTTTTGCTAGACTAGACCAGATACCATCGCTCCGTGCAAATCTATTACAAGCTTGATAGAAGATGTTTTTATATTACACAACGTAAATAATATGGAAATAATATCTTCCGACGTATTGCCCGCAATTGGTGAGAAAACTACATTTTGAGCAACTTCTATATCATTGCTTTGCTATTTCATATTATGCACTAACTTAACTTATGTCACTTATTTCAGTTAGTATAAATATAGATTGCCCACGATGTAAATACATCAGGGACAAAGCACAAAGCTTACTACAAAATGTACACTGTATTGGTAAAAATGATATAATTGGTATTTGTGATCATTGTCGTTTAAAAGATTCATGTAGTCCTTGTAATGTGTGCAGTGATATTGTGGAAAAATTCAGGATTAGCACAACCCAAGAAGAGGAAAGGAAATACAGAGTGAAAATATGGTTGAATAAAGTCAAACAGTTATTAAAAGACTCTTTATTTGGTGAAAGATTAAAACATTTGAGTCATTCTTATTCCGATTTCGAAATTGACAGGATATATAAGGGTTCATCAATATTGACAAAAGAAAGACCCCTTGAAATCGAAAATTTAAATACTTATACACATAAATATTTATCTGCTGAAGAAATATCAACAGTGGATAAATTATACCGTATCCCTCAACATGAGAATACTGTAAAATTTAAAACTGAGAAGTCATATAAAAAAGAAATAACGTTTCTAGAGAGTAGTTCTGATTATATATATAACACCGATTTTAGTAGCGACGAAGACCTGCTATTACAAAATGTTTCGCTTTCGACTGTTGATAGTCCGTCCGATTCAGTTAAATTATGTAGAATGAAAGACGACACCAACAACGTACTAGAAATAAATGGGACAGACTATACGGAAATAATTCCTTCGTATAGTGCAAACAAACAAAGAACTATGAAAAATAACGAATTCGAATTACATAGCACTACTATTCCATTACAGCAGACTTTAAAATCTGGTAACAAAATTCCATTACAACACAACCTAAAAAATGATATCAAGGATATTACACTACAAAATCGTAGAATTTCAGATAAAATAGGAAATTCGTCAATGAAATTCCAAGATTATTATATTAAAAGAGACAAGATAAAACCAACAACGAAATATCCTACATCAATCAGGCAATATCTCTCACAAGATACTTTATTAACCTCTATGACAGATGTATCAGACATACTGAAAGAAGATTTTGATTTTATTTTTCCAAACGTTGTTGAAAGAAATATAAAAAGCCGAAGGCGACCAGTGAATTCTTCAGAGTTGATTAAAGAGATTAAAGATAAGTTAGACAGTAAGATAAAGAAGGAAGAACTAAAAAGGATTGCAAGAATTCGCAAAAGAAAGGACGAAAACCAGAGAAAGAAAATTATCAATAATGAAGAACAGAAACAAATTAAAGAGGAATTGGTAAATATAAACTTTAAATACGTAAAATCTAAATCGTCAAATGAATTAACTAAACTGTCTATAGAAGAAAGTGCGTATGAAAAATCTATATCAAAGAAAATAGCGAATAATATTAAAACTATCGTGTCAGATAAGGATTATATACCTGAAATCACCTTTTGTAAACAAACTGTCAAAGGTAGAAAACAGGATTTTCCTGAAATAGGTAAAGATTTAAAAGCTAGAGCTCTCTCAAGAAATATAAACGAGCCTAAGAAAGACAAATTAATAAATAAAATTGTTGACGATTTAGAAAGGTTTGGAGATAAACATCAGAATTACGGAAAAGTAGTAAATAATAAATTAAGGAAAGAACCACAAGAAAAAGTTAAAACTGCAAATAAGGAATTACATAGAGAACAAAAAAACAATAAACAGAAAGAAGTAACAGATGACTCAATTCAAAAACAAAATAATAAAAATGCTAAAAGGAGCGAAGTTACAGACAATGCAGTTGTTTTACAGAAAAAAAATACAGTAATTAAAGAAAAAGAACTAAATAATCCACGGAATTCACTGAAAAAGCTTACAGAAGTAGCAGGCGACTCAATTAAAAAACATAATGTTAAAAAAAGTGAAATAAAGAACAATAAAATAGTTTTACCAAAAAAAGATATAGTGATTAACGAAACAGAACTGAATAATCCGCCGAATTCATTGAAAAATTATAATGAAGTAATAGATGATTCAATTAAAATAGAAAAGATTGAAAATCTTAAAAGAAATAAAGATAATGAGAATGCAGTTATTTTACATAAAAAAGATACAGTGATCAAAGAAAAAGAGCTAAATAATGGTCAGGATTCACAAAAAATGCATAAAGAAGTAATAGATGATTCAAATCAACCAAACACAAAAACTGAGTATATTGAAGAAAAAGGCTATCCAATTGTTTCCCAGCAAAATAAACGAATAATTAAAGAAAAACTACAATTAAAAAATATTCCTGATAGTAAAATAGAAGAAAAATATGAAGATGATCCAATAAAAGTTAACAAGAAAATTGATAAACCAGCAACTAAGGAATTGGCTATAGATAAAATAAAGTGTAAGAGAATATCATCTGACAACCTAATATTAGATTTGGTGAAGCTAAAACAATCTGTCAAAAGAGATGAAGTACTAAAACCTATATCCAAATATCATATTTCACAACTACACATTAAACGCGGGCAAAATGATGCTCAGGAGAAACAGAGCATATATAGCTCAGACACAGACTTCGATGTTGAAAGTATTTTAAATAAAGAAAAAGAAGAAATAATGAACATTATAGTAGGCCAAAAAATTATTCAGTACAATCCACAAATTATTGATAAACCTAAAGAGGGTAATATAGCTCCAATTTTATTTAAATCTACATTGGAGGAGGAACCTATTTTAGAACAAACACTGCACAAAATAGAAAGCACAGATGAAACTGAGTCGAATATTTTAATGAGAGGAGTAAGTGTTAGTATTTTCTTATATTAATCTTTAACAATACATATTATAAGAGTCTAACGGCTCTTGTTGTTATCTGTTAAAATTATTTATGGACTATTTTGGTATATAAAACTCGTTAATATATAAAAATTACGTGTCACGTAGTCGTCCTACGTCGCAATATTATTTTATTCAAGAACCTTAGCCACAGCAACGGCCTGGTATGCTGGTATATAATAAAATTCTCAATAGAAAATAAAGTACTACTATATGGCCAATACGTCAGCAACAGCTCTTATAGCCACTCTTCGATTAATCACGAAGTCTCGTATATATTTATATAAAACCTCATTATTTGTAATAAGTTTATTATACAGAATAAATATTGTTAATAAATACACAATAATATAACTTATCACTGCTTAACTTCAAACAATTCTGATATTTATAAGACACATTCAAATTATTATAATAATTCCTGGTCTGTTAAAAAGTTACATTCATATGACAATAATAAAAAGTTTCATAGCTTTTAAAATTTAATAATTTCAGAATGCCTAATAAGACAAACGTCAGTTTGATTAATTTTCTGATGTTTTTTAGAGTAATTTATTTTGTTATATTTCTTTTAGAGCAGCTGGATTCTTGTATATTTAAATTTTGTATGAATTTATTCTAAAATAATATTATGCCAAAAAGTAAAAAAGCTGATACTGTAAGTTATTTAAAAGTATTTGTAGTATTACAAGGCACATATAAAATGCTACGGATGGGCCCCTAACCGAAACCGAAAATGGCTAATGGCAACATAAACCGCTGGGGCCAAAAGAAGAAAAAAAATTCTTACTAAAAATCTACATGATGTACCTACATATCTTCTTAAATTGATTAAACAATTTTTTTAGTTAAAATTTAGGAGGACCGGAAAGTAATGTCGTTTTATTAAGCTAAATACAAACACATACATTTTTAACGATTCTTTATTTTTAAGTAAGAATGTATTGTTCATCATTTAAAACACTTTTATAAATGGTTTTCTTGTTTATGCTTAAACTTTTTATGTTTAATTTCAATAACCTGTGTCCCTCTGGTTAGTAAATTTTCAACCCCTGATCTATAGAAATTAATCGGTTTTTCTACAAAATACGTATGGCATTTTGGATAACATCCAAATTTGTAAATGTTATGCTACTTAAAAAGTGTTGCAGTAATCTGAATCAATGGAAATCCAATGGTGGAACATCTGGAGATGAAGGTGGATGAGGCAGCACCTCCCACACTAATTCATTATTTTTTTCTATAGCTCGCCTTGCGCTTGTTTTGTTTGCACAGATTATGCGGGATCCAAACACCTGCTCTCCTCACTTTCCCAATCAGCTTCAAATGTTCCTGGACGGTCGACCAAGGTTGGTTCAGAGTTTTTGACAATTCCTCGATCGTCTGACTCGGATTTGCTTCCACTTCCGCCCTTAATACGTCGTTGTCCAACGTTGATGGTCTTCCTGATCGGCACGAGTCAAGTAGATCAAAATTACCCGATTTGAATTTGGAAAACCACCTTTGGCATTTACGAATGTCCAATGCATTAGGATAAACATCACAAATGTTTTTGGTGGCAACTGTTGCGTTACTTCCCTTGCGAAACTCGAAAAGCATGCAATGCCGGATGTGTACCTCTTCTGGTATTTGGTTGGCCATTTTACGTAAAATTACAAAAGAAATTGTAATTCAATTTTCTATAAGTGAAGATCTCTATATAATAACCTATATATAACTATATAACCTATAACCTCGCAATATCTTTGACACGCCTCTAAAAGAAACAATGAGCTGATAAATGACAATTAAGTACTGCCAGGCGCAGAAACGACATTACTTTCCGGTCCCCCTATATATTATGTAAGCAATAAATAGGTATTGCGTTCTAATGGAAACACTCTCAGCGGGACGCTTGGTATTTTCCCCGTTCATGCTCTGTCACCACTGTTAACGAGGATTATAAGTACTTTACGGTCTGTTTTGGAAAGTCGACCTGACCCGATTATCAAGATTGCATTGCACAGAAGTCAGAGCGGATCTCATAGTAAAATATTTCCGCATTGATCCTTTAAGTAAACTGGATGTATTCTTACTACATTCTTGTTTTTCGTAATTTCTATTGAGTTTTTTAATTAATTTCAGACGGACCAAGAGGCGCCTAAAGGCGTTATTAGGTATGCTTTGTCAGATCGCACTTTTATCGACAAAGGATGGACAATGCTACCAACTGAGAAAGTAGTACGCAAAGTAATAAAACAATACTGTTATTTAAAATTGTAATTGATTTCAACATAAAACAAAGTCGTTGTCGCTGTCTGTCCGTCCCTATAGTCGTATTTTTAATTAGACAAAGTCAACTGACGTTTACTGTGTTGTCAGTATTTGATGAAATAAAAATAGTGTTGTGACAAAGTGAATAATTGAAAAAACTCCTGAATTAATGGAATCGCCTCGATTGTTTAGTCTAGTGAATAGTTAGTGTTACGAACTGCCGATATCGGGTACGGGGTTCGAATTTTAGCCGTGCTTTATACATACCAACAAGTGACATTAATTATAAATCTGTCGGAAAAATAGACAATAATTTATCTTTGAAACAGTGTTTCGGTCCACGTTTCTCCAGAGACTTAAATTGTTCATTTTCTTTGTATTCTTTTAATACATTGTAGACCGAGGTCACACCAATTCCCAAAAATGTCAGCTGTTTTCGAAATACATTTTTTTTTTCGGGAGCCTCAATAGGTAATAGTGAAGCAGCTTTCTCCTAAAATACGTGTTTGTGACGTTTTGTATCATAAGTTTTTCGGTAACGCTTAAAGCAATCCGTGGTCTCTTCTTTCTTGGAGACAAGCTTTGGCTTGACATGCTTGGTTGAGGATCCATTTCCATCCATCCATGAGAAGGATACATTGGTACGAAACAATATAGCAAATATACAATATACCTAACTATTACCACAAACACAACAGAAGGAAAAACTTATCAAAAACAATAACAAAACAGTGTGAGCGCAAAAAAAACATTCGTGCTCTCAGACCAGAGGTTAGAAGCCGAATTACGAACAAAATGGCGACCGACGCTCGCGACGTTGATCGGTGTTTAACAGCGCGCTTTGTAATAAGCCGTCTAATAACTGATTGTAGTTACGTAACACTATTTTTTTTATTATATTATTAATTATAATAAATACGTAACACTAGTAACTTATATCAGAGCACTTTCATACAATTTTATTGTAAAATAGAAATAATATTATTTTGTAGTTTGAAATGATTAACTATTCACACTCATTGTTCATTCATGTGACCGAGAACTGAACGCATCACTATTACTTTAAATATGGCAACATTATTTTACAACATGACATTAGCTACTGTCAGTTAGCTTCGTCTAATTAAAAATACGACTATATATATACTTAAATCTTTAAAACTACACAACGGATTTTGAAGCGATTTTTTTTAAATAGATAGTGATTGAAGATTAGGTTTTATATAACACATGTACACCCGTGAGAAGCCGGGTCGAGTAGCTAGTACTTTATAAAATTCAGTAATGTCACAATTATAAAATATATTTAGAAGTATCTATATAAAGAAACACTGATGCATTCAGTAATACTAAGTATTTCTTATGTAACTGGAATGGCAAACAAACTGGCGGCCCACCTTAGACAAGCGATAGGAATATTTAGATACATTGTTTTGTAAATATATACATAACACCTAGGCCGGTACAAACAATCATACTCATGATTACAAATGTTTATACCGTGCGAAGAACCCGACCCGCGACCATTGCAAGTGAGAAAGTGTGTAAACCACCGAGACCGCTAGTTGAGATTGAGGTAGGCACGATAGTCTACCTCTAGTGACACATATTTATAAGTTCCTAATCATAATTTGATTGTAGATGAACGTGTACCGTATGAGGCCCGCGCATCCGGAGTTTGATTGGTTTGAGCATAATAAGAACAAACGGCTAATACAGTACGATACTGGTGAAAGGTTGGCAGAGTTCGACGATAACGGACGCGGGCGGTGGTACTACAGGAATGGCAGATTAGCATTAGATTATTACGATGCCGAAGGTTTATGTTTCTTATTTACTATAGAGGTCTAGTAGAGTAGATTCAATCTTTTTTTGTTGAAGTAGATGAAATGGCTATTCCGCTTGCGGGATCTATCTATCTGAAGAACGATATAATGAGTATTATATGGGATCTTCTCTATAGTTTTATCTCAATGTAGATATGAATTAAATCTATTTGACTGCCTACTGTTCTTTTAAAATGGTTATTTTTTTAGTTATAAGATAGCTTCTATCAGTCATCGTAATTCCGTCTATCATGTATCAATTTCGTTAAGACCCGTTTCCGCTGTTTAGTCATAAATAGATAACAAACTAACATATGCACAATATTAATATAGATTAAAAGGTATAAAATTACATCAATCGGAAACATAAACATTTTATTTTGTAACTGACGAAATTGGATCCTTTACACAAGAAGATATTTTAAATAAGTATGACATCTCTTTTAATCATAACAGAAATAAATGCGCAACAACGTTATGTGGTGTACAGTAGCGGAGAGCCAGACGAACGTGGTCGTTGTCATCCTATAACAATTTTAGCAACATTTGACTATCTTGGAAATGGTATAGTATTCGACCACGCGGGAAAAATACGGTAAAGTATATTAGAATATGTCACAATACAATCAAATTTATTAAAACTAGATATTTTATACTCTTAAGCATTTATCTTTTAGTCTTAAATATAACCAAACTGAAGGCGTGGTGCTAGACCGAAATATAGGCCCAGTGACTCACTGGAAATGGCACACTTTAAACGATCCACCAGTTTTACAACAAGTTATGATAGATACTCAAATGGCTCATAAAGATACTGGAATATTGAAACTCGCCGGACCCGCGGACGATAAAAGACGTCCAGATAACGAAGAGATGCTAGCTATTGAGTTTGATAATTTTATTAAAGAAAAAAGCAAGAAATTATCTCAAAAATTTAAACCCTTCCAAATAAAAATGAAAGCCTTAAAGATCAATGAACACTTTTCACTCAGAGTACTGGATCAAGCTACTGTCTATTTACTGTATAGAGACGGCTCCACGAACCTAAAAATAAATATCGGGATGGTTTTAGATCATCAAGAAATTGTAGACACAGATACAGCTGAAGTTGGAGAAGTATCAAATAATTTAGAGCGTCTACCAGCTCGCACAGACAGTCTAGCGGGTCTTCAAAAGAGTGTGGCGTATGCACAACGTGTCGAACGATCTCATATAGAACGAGATCGACGTCTTAGAGCGGCAGAGCCTTGTGCTAGCGCTGATCAGCTTACCGCTGCAATGTCCCGACCACTACGACCAACTTTTCGAACGGCATCATCGGATTCGAGATCCATTGGTGAATGTCTTTATAAACGTAGAAAACCTTCATGTACTGGTCTTTACTATGATACGCGTATTATCTAATTATTTTGTAACAATATTATATTAATAAATATTTTAGTTTTTAACCTTTAAATCAAAGGCTGTTATTCCAAATATTTAGATGCTATGCTTTCTTTTTTTAAAACTATTATGTCATATGACTTATAAAATATCTGATTACTTACTCAACTATGTTTTGAAAAGACAAACTATCTATCGGTATCTACTGTAGCTACGCAGACGATCCTTTTTATCACAAAAATATTTTTTTCGATACATTTTTGATCATATAGTTTAATATTGAAAATGCAAATGATTCCAATGAATAATAAAATTAATTTCACTGTAACTTCTGCTGAATTATCAGGACGAGCTAACTTACTACATCCTATCGTCTTCAACGGGTGCACCGCTAGTTTATAAAAAACTCCTTCTTCCAAAAAACCTTAATGTAAAATTATAATGAAATTAAAGATATGTTATAATTATGAAATTATAAGGTATACAATTCAGGGAGGCAAAATAATTTACTATGGACTGATGCTTATACCTTAGTAACAGCTTACTGATGCCATACTGGCGTTACAACTATCTACCAGATATTTGCCTTTCCTGTCACAAGAATAATTCCTAGTGCAAGTGTAAGATGCTTACCAAATAATAATTAAACTCAATAAAAACATAATTTATATTTTATTAATAAAAATTGTTAAATCTTTAAATGAAAATAACGTCGTCTTTATATAGGTACTAATCTTATAAGTATTTCGGATACATGACCATAATATAGAGTAAATACAAATATGCTATGGTAGTTGTATAACTTGCGAATGGTCTGACGTGCTCTCCGTGGAGTCAGCGGCGCCGTTGGGGATAGCCTCTGGGGTGCCTGATCTTGCTCGCACCATAGTAAGAGCATTCTGACATTTATTACGCAGCTCAAACACTTGAGTTATAGCATCGCGGAAGCACAAAAAATTGTAATCTATCACACCTGAAACAAAGAATAAACATAAGCGATTCGAACTTATTACAACAATTTTCAATGGTTTTTCTATACATTATTTTTTTATTGTTCGATAACAACTAATTGTTTGGTAATTGAAATCTGTAGTCAATTAGTTTGAGGTATGATGCATCTTTAATTTTAGGTAATCTGATTCTTAATCAATTGAGGCATTATGCTATCAGCGGCATGTTTTATGTTATGAGTGCCTTAATAAAGTAAATAACATATTTACTTTTATACTATTTGGTAATATTGACAAGATAAACATATTTTGTTAAAGAAACAACGAAATCTAATGGTATTTATAAATTAAAGACAATGTATAAATGCGGTAATGCTTACCTTGTTTTTGAAAATTTTCTTCTCTTAATATACAAACTAAGGCCAGGAATTTATTAACTTCTCGTAGGTATAAAACAGTGCCATTATTAAGTTTTATTAGACTTGAACTTTGATTATTAAATGTATTTACATCTGTTTCATCAACCATTCTGCAACAATACAATATATACAACTATTAGTATATTACATACTTAACATAAAAACTAAGTGGGAAGTAGTCAGTAATAGAGATTGCTATAGCCCCTGTGCTTGTATTGACTAATGTCAAATTATATCCACAAAGTAATCTCTAGAACCCATCCTGGTTAAGTCCTGGTGAATATTTGACAATCGGCTTAGTTATACCCGCAAGCGTATACATTTATAGCAGGTGTAGACACACCATTACTACATACAATACTAATACATTAAATCTGTTGGACAACAGTTTTAATGTATTTGGAATGACAAACAAGGTTCACTAGTTAATGGTACTTAATGGTAACCGGTAACCATCGCCATTATATACATGGCAGTACTATGGACCCTACAACCCAAAGCACCAAAATCTACTATTAAGCAAACTGATTGGTGACTGAGATAAGCAGTCTATCTTGGGTAAAATTTTAAACCATTCCATATTCATTGATCTATCCATGTGAGAATTGTTAAAATACTCATAGTTCCTGTAATATGATACAATTGGCATTGAGATGCCAATTGTATCATATTACAGGAACTAAAGTATCAACCCGCAAGCAGTTCTCCTGTAGAGATCATCATGCTTATTGCTGTATGATTTAAAAAGTTACAATAATAGCATCTGACACTGAGTTCGTGTTTGATCTTTAAAGTCCTTTTAAATTAAGGAATGCCGTTAGAGATTTTTAAAAGCAACATACCCATAGATACATGAAATGTCTATGACAACATCAATCATGTCACAGCACAGTTCATAACTTTGCATATCAACAGGCGAACTATCTGTTGCTATATAAATTTTTGATACTACATCAAAAAGGAATGCTTTCTCTATGCCTGAATTCTGAAAAAATCAAGAAAAAGTTTAAGGTAAGTAAGTAAGACAATAATGCTATGCATTAGTACAATATAATTACTATGCAAATATTTATTAAATTTACTTAAAAGCCTTGTAGTTTTGTAATTTACTACAATGACCCATACCCAAAGGTTGTGTATTGAAATTTGGGTTATACAAAATATATTTACATCACATTCTTGAAGGAAACTGTGACTAACAGGTGATGATCTCATTTTGGGATAACAGTTGTGAAGGAATTTTATTATTATATAACAACATTAGAAATAGAACTTACTGATATAAGAATATTAAGAAGATTTTCTAGTGTTGGTAATTGAGGAATCAATTTTTGAACAACTTTACTGAACGCTTCAAATATAGAATGATCATAAATTGATGTTAGATGAAATGATAAATGCACATGTTCTAAGCCAGCTTCTGCAAGATCCTCAGTAGCCCGATGATGAATATCTCTTTGTGATTCCATTTTGTAGTCATCATTTAATCCATCTACCTGCAAATATTGGACAAATAATGTATGGTGTGTAACAATTTGCAGTGGTAATTGTTAAACATACTGCCTCCCCTTACATAGGCAACATATTAGATTAGCAAATTTAACTCAATCAGTCATTTGTTCTGTCGAGGGACTAGATGACACATGCTTTTTATCAATTTAATAATATAAAAATGAAGACCATAATTATTTACACAAGGAGTAAAATTATGCTTAGTTAATTTGTGCATATAAAAAAATAGAATTAAAAGGAAAATAAGAAAAGTATTGTATTTGGTCTGATAGTGTAATATGTTATAATATGTACAATATCCATTAAAATTAATTTTAATATACAAAGATTAATACATACTTTGTGAATAAAAACTTCAAACTTAATGTTATTATTTACTCTGTATGCTTTAGTTACTGTGAGTTGTAGCTTCTCCAAAGCATCTTGGTAATCATCCTGAAAAAATAAAATAGTCCAATGTTACTTTAAGATAAATTCATGAAATATTTTTTTCTATCACAGCAAAGAATTATATAATATTATTAAATATAACAAATAAAAAAGAAACATCATTTTAAATTTGTCTCATTTGGATTTCTTTTGCTTAGTTCTTATCCTTAGTCCTTCTGGGCAAATAGTAACACATTTTTCTATGTCTGGCTCCAAATATATTCTACATTTAGTGTTATCACAGTTTCTAGAATTATGTTGTATTTTTTAAGACATTACTTACTTGTGCATCTATAACAAATACTAAAGCTCCACAGCCACCAAATATAGTATCAGAATCAAATGTTGGATCAAAGAAATCAATTTGTCCCGGAAAATCCCAAATTTGAAATTGTACAAAGCTGCTGTTGTTTATATCATCTTTGACTATTTTGTTGGTAGATTCTAAAAACAATGTTTCATTTGGTGACATCTTATGAAATACAACCTTTTGTATGGATGATTTACCAGACCTGAAATAATTACAATCTATTTTAGAAATGCCAATACATGCGGGGCTTTTATGGTAATTGTGGCTTAATGTGCTATGCCCATCCCACTATTGCCACATGACAGTTAAAACTTTTCACACTTTAAAGAAAAGACCCCATCTTTTTGTAAGGATGAATGTACTTACAAAGCAAGTAGTATATAGGGATTAATTATTATAATAATACACTATTTCATACCCCACAAACCTTTATTGTTAGACCTACAAAGAGAGTCACTACCAGTTTTTATATTTGTTTATCCATATTTAAAATATGAGAGTTCTTTTTATACATTTTTTTATATCTCTTCTGTCACTGGACTCTGCTATAATAAACAGCTCTACAAGCACCTCTATTATTTTTATTCATTATTACTTATATCTACAAAATCTGGTAAGATAGTTCACTGTTGGGAATTATATTCAGATAAATTATTATACAGAACTTTCTGTATAATAATTTATCTGAATATAATTCCCTAATCATACTTATGATTTTAACACATAAAAAAATATGGCCTTAAGACTAAATTGCTATACAAAGGTAGCTTAGGTTTGCCCATACCTACAAAAACAACATGCATTTTTTTCTACCTATGCCCTCTGGATGAGAGAGTCTTTCTATATAATTCTTAAACTAATAAAACAATTTAATTAATTCTTATATTATTAGAACATAAGTAGCATATTATGATTTTATAATTACTTTACTATGGCCACTACTAAATCAAAACTTGATAATAATTATATTAATTGATAATGGTGTGTTGTATCATCCTCAATATTTTCTTTAACTGTGACATCCTTTCATCTCCTTAGTTGATTAATAAGTATCCAGATTATTACATATTGCACTGTATTAAATACCTTCTTAGTCCCATTAACAGAATCCGTGGTTTATGATCTTCTTGCAATGACGTATTATCGCCCTCCCCGTTCTGTTCAAATGGTCCATAGCTAAAATCCTTGGGGAATGAAGCCCCGTAACAACTGGGTTCGTCTTGGTAACTCTGAATGATTTAAAATATATATTTAAATATAAATAACATGGCATTAAAGTAGATAATAAAAAGAAAACAATTGCTTACCATATTAAGTTATTACTGAGAACAAAGTGTAGATAGATATGATCAGTGTTCACAGCATTATTACTTTGAAAAATAATTGATTGCATTACACATTTCTTTTTAACAATTCAGTAATCTATGAAAATAATAAGAAACCATTGAACAATAAAATGTCACTATTTATATGAATTGTGAAAAACAAAATAATAAGGGTATATTTGTACGACTACAATTTCTACAAAGAGTGCTCTATGTATAGTAATGTAATGTAACTTTGACTTTATTGTACGGTCAAATGTCATTAGCAATTTAAGAACTGATAGAATGACAGCATTTTGACATTATATTCTTTCTACTACTGTCATTTCTCCATAGATTGCAATCTCTGAAGTCTGAGCTTCTTATAAAATTTTAATATTTGTACCATCGATTTTGTTCTTAATTTCTTTATAACAATGTTATTAAGTAAATTATCTTGAGAAATTGTTTTATTTAAAATTGTGTAGTGATATACATATAGCTGACAAAAAACTTCTTTCAGATGCTGTAAGTAAACATATTTTTGGTTGTGCTTTGTTTGATTTCATTTGATAATGTGTTAGTCCTGATTATTTGTATACTTGGCTAGTTCTTAAGTTTTTTCGTTAGGATAATTATGGAATAGTGCACCCGTTAGTCCTAGAAATATACGTTAGCGTGGTACCAGTAGAGGATGAAGTCAGCTCAGTTTGCTCAACTAGGCGAATTCACCAGAAATTACCGTGGGCACTACTGAAAGGAGGACAGCGTGGAGATCAACGTGCAACCCTGAATGTACCTAAATATCATGCTAGTAATCACCTTCCCCCATGTTGTCAGAGGTTCTTCATATTAAGTACTATAGCATTTTTTTTTTTATTTTGTGATACTATCAGGAAAGTTATTGACTAAACTACAAAATTTGGGTATAATGCAAGAGATTTGAAAGAAATTTCAACCTAACTCTTAAATGTGAAGTAATTAATATTCCTTATAGGCAAGTTTCATAATCTAAATTAATTTATGATTTATTTGATAATAATATATTTTAGGTATTATATATTTGTTTCAATAATTATGGATTTGGAAATATACAGATCTCATAAAAATTTTAATTGGAATTTCAAGGCATGGTCTGATCTATTTTAATAAAACATAATAATAAGTAATCTGACCATTGACTTTAAGGAGATTGGTGTATGCAATTTATTCTATAAGAATCTTAATGTGCTCAACCTACTATATCTGTCTTCAATTCCTACCATTTTTAGACATGCTTGATAGGTTATGCTTGATGTTTATCGATGTTGATTGTATATTTTTTACAGAATTCTTTCTATGTGGAAGAATTCTACATTGATTTATTTTTCTTGTTATGTAGCCCCCTTGGGTAAAAGTTTCTCCATCTACTACCAACCCTTTCTATCCATGGCAGCCATTCTTTTCCCGCATTATTCTTTATATTATCAGCCCAAATTTTTTCTGCTGTCTTACTCTCCTTTTGCCAGTTGGCACAGCCATTTTGTTGTTAAAATAGTCCATCTTTGTATCATGCTAATTGCCTTGCCTTTTAAAACAGTAATGAATCTGCCATTTCTGTTTTAAACTGGAGAACATCTGTCAATTTGGTTGTCATTCGGATGTGTGTATTTCGGGTTTACTGTGTTCTTCTAAGTTTCAAAATAATTGCATGTTGACAAGATAAAATTTTGTTTTTTGCTTTTTCTGTGTAGACCCATGTCTGGCTGGCATAAGTTAGAATTGAAAAATACACAAATCCATGATAGTCTATTTTCTGTTGACATTTATTTGCCTATTCTAAATACTGTTGTAGGTTGGACTCCATTTTCTGCAATTGGCCTCTCATTTGGGCCATTGTGTGTGTATTCCATTTACTGTTTTATTATCTAACTTCGATTTGCAATTAAAGATACTCAACCAGAATCTTCTTTTGTAGATGATATTGGAATGGTCATCTTGCCTGTACTAATGGTACATGGGTACTGAAAACAGGTCAAGTCAAATGTGACAAATTTAAAAGAAATGAATGACAGTAGTTTCTAGGGCAAACAGAATTAATGTAAATTTGACAGAGTTATTCATACATCGCAACCATAGAGTGGATATCTATGGTTACTTTATCTCCAGTATCTAACAAGAAGTATACATAGTGTGGTTGTAGCTGAAGCTGAAACTTATTATTTTTTTAACATGAAATATTTTCCAAAGATAGAGATAAAACAAGTGAATAGCACCTACTGGTGGTAGGGCAGGTGGTTTGTGGGGGATATTTATCCTTTAAAAAGAACTTGATGTACCTCCAAGCTACTATTGCTGGAGATTCGGAATTACATTAACATCCTGCTAAGACTCTAGTGACATTTGCCAGCACTGCAGGTGCATAGGGCAATCTGATGTCGATTAGGGCGATTAAAGATTACAAAGATAAATGTCAAAGACATGTTCCAGTAAGAATATATTTTTTTTAAAGAAAAACCATTAACTAAGAAATATGGGATAAAACGTAAACTCTTTCAAATAAAAATACTTTTATTCAAATTATTATCAATGGCGGTTATGAAGTAAAACATTACACAAACATTAAAAATACAGTTCGTTTTTCAAGTCGGTTAAAAAGTAATTAATGTTGGAAAACAAGCATTATGACTCATTATCGCCTTAACAATTGTTATTGTTGCGAATAATTAATTCTAATACACATTCTAGATTCCAGATCTCCAAACTTGATGGAGCACCCCACAAACAGGTTCAGGATCTTGTATATTCTTTCCTGCTCTTTTAGCTTCGATCGGCGTAGTTTGTTGTTAGTTCTTGGAAACCAATCTTAAGAGGACTATTACAAAATGATGCCGCTCAACTTTAGGTTTAATCGCATGGATTTACGCACACATACAGTAATACACGCACACAGACGCAAATAACCGTGTAGCTCAATCGGTGTGGATTTAGTATGAACCATTTTGATCCTTGTAATATTTTAATTAATAATGTGATATGTTTCTACTTAACTAAGTAACATAAACTACTTATAGTATTTTTTTAAATAAAGTGATTTATCTTAATTATCAAAGTGCTAATAATGACCATATTTTTTTATTATATTATTCCTAGAGGGTTGATGTCAGGATGCTGGCCGATTGTACAACTAAAAGCCAAAACCTTAAGTAATATGAATAACAAATAATTGGGACAGGAAGACGAAATTATTATAACATAAATTTACTAATTAATTCTTCTTACGTATTAATTCAGTTTATTTATTAATAGATACAATATAATTTATTATAAGAGTCGGATACATTATTGCCATATTCACTTGTTCTAAATATTATACTTAGCAAATAATTATTTTATTTATATATAATAGTTGTGTTTTCAAGGCTTTGTTTTGATTTAAAGGTCCCATCCTTATATGTATATTAGGTGTGTCTGCGACTTCGTCAGCGTGGTATAATGAAATTGACCAAATAAAGGAAATATATTTAGATTATATCCTAAAAAAGTTTATTTGTTTCACTTAAACAATGACGATACTTTTATACAACCTTTCATCTCCGCGCTTTTAATCCCCTACAATACTTTTTTCGCACTATAAAGTAGTCTATGACCTTTCTCAGGGTATACTATCTGTGTATATGTATATCTATCTATATAGACTACCTGTGTATATATATGGTAGTGAATTTACAAGGTACAGGGGAATAACACCCGAGTTTTCAGGAATGGCAACGCATGAGGGAAACAATGTGCTGATATGAACATGTCAGGTACTGCTCATGTATATAGGCGACGGTTACCCCTTTCCATCAGGAGAGCCGTCAGCTTGTTTGCCATTCTAAGTTGTAAAAAAAAGCTTCAACTGCTATCATTGCTGTTCCTGTATCATTGACGTCGCCGCATGATATTGGCTGATATTGCAGCTTCTCGTTCTTGGTTGGCCGATTCTTGATTCTTGATAAATAATTAATTGTTAATGTCAAACCTTTTTATAAATTATTATAAGACGCCTCATTGATTATATGTAATGAAATCACCATGAGCTATAGAGATTTTGGACAGAACCTTAAAAGACCTTAGAAACACCTCTGCTCTCATTGGCGGGATTACTTTTATACTTTTGCTGGAGATTTCTGAAAGACTCTGTGTCATTAACATCGTCTCCCTTATGGACTTTAATTGAAAGTTTAAAACTACTGACAAATTTGAGAGCTCATTTTTATGGAAGCACAGATAGTGATTTCCCACACTAAATGCTCAAACTTGAGGAAGGAATTTCTCAAAAGCATGATCCAGTCATGAAATTTAAGCCCGCCGAACATGTGCAATGGCGTCCCATTGGATATATTGCTTATTAAGAATTGAAAGACAATTTAATTGTAGACCATTATAACCGGTACGTTAGCTGGGCAACCAGCTTATATACCAAGAATACCGATGATTCCAACTGATCTGCCAATACCATTTTAACGGCTTCAATTTCCAGTTAAAATATCATCTACACATGTAATAGATCTATGTATGTTTTAATCTTAAAAAACTACGCAGATTTTGATTCGTTGTTATTTAATAGACAGAATAGATAGACTCAAGAGGAAGGTTTATATATAACGTCCCAATACTGTACACGGATCTTTAAACGCGCGATAACCTATATACCCCATATTCACGCGGGCGAAGCCGCGAGCTAAAAGCTAGTCTCTAAATAAAAACATTCATAATGTTGTTGACTTTTCACCCAAACACGCATAATTATTTGACATAACTGTACAGTAATGAAAGTCCAACGAGTATAATAACAGAATAGCTGCAATTTAGAAATATCTGTATTGTGTAAAATAAAATAAAATTGGATAAAATATCTCTAAACATTAAGGAATATAATTTATATATAATTTGGTAATTTATTTACAATCCACATTGCATACTAGTTGATATACACTATATAACACAAGACAAATGTACGTAAAAATAATAATGGTATTTTTATAAACAATAACCCTATTTTAATTTAGAAAAAAAACTACAAAATAAACATAGAGTAAAATTGGTTTACATTTTCTTACATTTTTCTCTCAGATAAGCGTTATTTTAAAAAATACTAAAATGTTCTCTTTTTTAATTTTAACAATTAATTGCCATTAGTGTGACGAAATACCATGCTCTTGTGCTTTTCATAGTCCAGCAGGGTAGGTAGGTTTTATTTGTAG